GTAATAAAGGTATTAGCCTTGCATTGAGAACTAAGTGAGACCAGGTGTAACATGCCTCCTGGAATGTGGCAAGTTTTAGGTGCTCAGTTAATGTTAGTTCTCTTCTCAGTGAGTCTATCAATTTTAGGATTTCTTCAGGGGAAGTAAACTAGTTGTTACTATTATTATTTTGGTTATAAACAGTTTTATAGAATAGAGCATTTTGTGGACATTAAACTGTTATCACTCCAAGTTTTCTTTGAATCATTTTCATTTACATAACTTTTTTGTTGTTGTAACGTGAAATAAACTAGATTCCAAAGAAACTGCTAACCACTCTTTAGCCCCTTAATTTCCATTATATTTGTTCTGAACCCACAAAGCTTTAGTAATTTCTTAGCTGAAGAAATTCACTAGCCATCTCTTAGCAACTGTAACTCTTTCTGTAAGTATTCTAATTTTTACACTGAAGAGAATGCTCTAACACTTTGTAACCAGAGCATTGGCTTTCATTTAATCATAAGATCTTCACGGAGTTTTGTCCTTTATGTAAATTTGAGGAGGCTTGGCATTTGATGGTTATTGATAGCCACACAGGAGTTTTCCAGGTAGAAAATGGGTTGTCTTTTGCTCTTTTAAGAGAAGGGATAGGAGAGAAAGTTAAGTTGTTGTATGTGTGAGGTGTCTTTTACTTATGTTTAGGATGGTTGTGGGGCAAACAGTGTGAATAAAGGGATGGTCAGAAGATAAGGGGCAGAACACTGAAGACCTGAGTTTATATGCTTTAACCAAAAGAAGAGAACAGGAGATGAATAAGGCTTTGTTCTTTGTATTAAACTTGGGCTGCAGACATTGAACATAGATTTGCATTGCCTTTATAAATAAACTATTAGATGTCTTCTAAGTATATAATCTAAACACATCAACAAAGATTTATTGATCTTTCCTGTATTGCACAACACTCTATGAGCTTAAAACAATTGCTTCCTTTCCTAGGTTGTTATGGTTAAAAGATATGATTATAGCTTAAATATAGTAGATAAAAATTAAACTTTCTTAGGAAGAGCTTATTATCCACAGGAAACAAAATACTATGAATCTTGCAATTTTATATAGATATTTTTATTTTCAGTTTTACTCCAGTGATGATATTCCAACTCTAAAGAAAGTTAGAGGTATCTTAATCGTTTCTTCAAGAAGCTTCTAGCAAGGATTAGCCTTGTTAATAAACCAGAAAAGAATAAAAAGATTTGCCTAGGTTGAAATTAAGCACATAGCTCTTAAATTTGAATTTGACACAATCTTAACAAGAACAATTTATGTAGTTATTAAAGAGTAGTATTTTGAGCAAACGGAAGAATAGCTGAATTTAGATGTACGTAAAAATAGTTTCTTATTGGTGGCTAAGAAATCTAATTGGTTTAATGTATGTTAATTTGTTGCATGTGTTGCTTGTTTCTTTAATCCTTTCTTGCACTGTGTCGCCTTTTTTCCTGTTAGCCTGTGGAACACAAACTGATCAGGGAGTTTAAGCTAATGTTATAACTGAATGACTTTTTATGTCAGTGCTTCAAAAGATAGCACTGGTTGCAGTCTGTTGTATTTGGCAAATAATATTATGCTAAAATAGGAGTATGAAAATACTATTTTTATATTTACAACCAATATCAAAATGTAATATTTAAATTCTTATATTCTTTTTTTGAATAAACTTTATTTTTTAGAGCAGTTTTAGGTCCACAGTAAAATTTGGGGGAAGGTACAGAGATTTCCATATGCCCCCTGCCCCACACATGCATAGCCTCCCCATTATCAACATCCTTCACCAGGGTGGTACATTTGTTATAGCTGATGAACCCTATGCTGACACATCGTTATCACTCCGAGTCCGGAGTTTACATTAGGGTTCACTCTTGGTGTTGTCTATTCTGAGTTTGGACAAATGGCTGATGACATGTATCTGCCATGAGAGTATCATACAGAATACTTGCACTCTCGAAAAAATCCTATATGCTCCACCTATTTGTCCCTCCTTCTCCCTAAGCCCTGACAACCACTGATCTTTTTACTGTCTCCATAGTTTTACCTTTTCCAGAATGTCATGTAGTTGGAATCATACAGGCTGTAGCCTTTTCAAATTGGCTTCTTTCACTTAGTAAAATGCATTTAAGTTTCATCCATGACTTTTCATGGCTTGATAGCTCATTTCTTTTTAGCAGTGAATAATATTCCATGGTCTGGATGAAGTACAGTTTATCCATTTACCTACTGAAGGATTTCTTGGTTGCTTCTAAGTTTTGGCAGTTATGAATAAAATTGCTATAAACATCTGTGCAGGTTTTTGGGTGGAGATAAGTTTTCAGCTCATTTGTGTAGATATTAAGGAGCATGATTGCTGAATTGTATTGTAAGAGCATGTTTAAATACGTTTTATAAGAAACCACCAAACTGTCTTCCAAAGTTGCTATGCCATTTTGCATTCCGATCAGCAATGAATAAAGAGTTCCTGTTGCTCCACAACCTTACCAGCATTGGTGTTCTCAGTGTTTTGGATTTTGGCCATTCTAATAGGTGTGTGGTGGTGTCTCATTGTTGTTTAATTTGCAGTTCCCTAATGACGTTTGATATTGAGCATCTTTTCATAGGCTTGTTTGCCATCGGTATATCTTCCTTGCTGAGTTGTCTGTTCAGGTCTTTTGCCCATTTTTTATTAGATTGTTCATTTTCTTGTTGTTTTAAGAGTTCTTTGTATATTTTGGATAATAGTCCTTTATCATGGTATGTCTGATAAATATTTTGCAACTATTTTCTCCTAGTCTATGGCTTGTCTTCTCATTCTCTTGAATATTCTTTTTTTCTTAAAACTGTTTTTTGGCATTGAGGATATATTTTGAACTTTTTTTTTTAACTTTTGCAGATTAGTTATAATATCATAAAAGAATTTGGCCTTTTAGCAGTTCATGTTTATATTTTAAATATACAAAACGTTGATTCTCCAGAGCAGTTTTTTCTCAGACTTTGAGATTTAAATTTGCTTTTCAGAGACATGAAGTAAAACTTGAAAATATGCCTTGGTAAATTTTTCTTCCCTGTAACAGCCATTCAGACCTTAAGGATGTGGCAAATGAGCCATAAGGTCATTATCCCATTGAGAAAACACTCATAAAACGCCTGCTTTCCTCTTTCTCTTCCAAAAAAAAGTGTCAAATAACTGATTTCATAAAAAACCTTGGGAACGTGGTAGTATATTTAAAATTAGAGTAGTGCTCTACTCATCAGAATCACATATAATTGGTACTTTGACTAATAATGCTTTTGTTTCGCTAAGACACAGCATTCCAGAAACTGAGAGTTTTAATGACAGTAGGTTTGTTTTCTCATTTTATAGCCTGCTTTAAAAAGAAAAAATTTTTATCTTAAGTTAAAATATACCATCAACATATTTTATAATTCTCTTCTTTATTTGCATAAAGTGGGGGATAGGATGATTTAGTCTTTTAATCAAAGGAATACATCTATAATAGTCTAAGAAAATCAAGTCTGATCTTACCCCTCTCCATTGTTAAAATAAAGTTCTTTGTTCTCTGTCTAATTGGGTTTACAGATAGTATTTCGAGACCTTGGTTATTATGTTAATTCACTGGCTCCCTTCATTGAAAAGGATCAGATTTCTGGCAGACAAGCCCACTGTCTTCCTACTTGTTTTCTTCTCTGTTCCACAGAGTAGTAAATACTAAGCTTGAAATGAGAGGAGACAGCCTAGAGTATGAAATGGAAATAGAAGCAGTTCAGAAACAAGAAAGCCAACAGAATTTAAGAAAACAGGGAATAAATCTATTAAATGAATTGAGTTTTTTTTTTTTGCCCTGGAAGCCTTAGCTTTTTAATGAAGAATAACAAACACATGGGTTATGGTTTTTAATCACAATCCAGAGCAAGTAAAATTTGGCTGATATAATTAGGTTTTTCTTTTGCTTTGTATTTTTTTCTAAGTCTTAAATAAAGGAATATATAAGATGGCATTTTATATTTTTCTTAGATATTTTCCGGAGTAATCAAAAGCCTAGAATTAGAAAGTAATCCCTTATAAGCAAAGGTTTACTTACATGAGTTTTTTCAACTGGAGATTAATGCTACAGTGTACTATGGCCTATTGCTGGAAAGTACAAGTAAGTACCTGTATTACAGTACTGTATGTTATTTTAGGGAAAAATAGATGGCTTAAGTATGTTTTAGTTCTTGATAATTTTACTACTACTTATAATTGAAATTTTATAAAGTAGAAGTTACTAGAAATTAAATATTTGGAAAATTTGGCATTTAAAAAAATTTTATCCATGAATTAATAGAAACAAATTTGAGTTTACTGACATGAGATATTGATTAAATTGCGTGATTTTCCAAAGCAGAGTAAAACCTAGAATGTATTGCAGCCTCCTCTATTTGTATTGGTATACTAATGAGAACATACCTACCGTTTTTATGAAGGATTTTTATATGGTTGCAAAGAAATAAATCGATACTGTTTTTTGCTATTTCTATGATGATGATACATTTTCAGTATAACAGAACGAAACGTTAGTATGCAAAAAATTGCCCATACTTTAGAGGGGGTATAAATTCAGGAGTCAAGGGATTATGCGTGTGTAACAAACTGGCAGGCCCATAGACAGCCCATTAGACACTCGTGTTTCCCTGACCCCAGAAGCTGAAATTCATCTGCTTCAGATTGACAGATCAAACTCATTAATTTACTACAGAACAAATTTCTTTTTCTCTAGAATATGGAATCTAGTCTTATTATAAGAGATCTTCAAGTCTGCATCTTAAAACGTGCTCCTTTATAATATGTCTGCTCTCACTTTATGAACAGGGTTATTTTTAAAATGTGTTCTATGTAAGTGTGTGGAGTTATATTCTTACTGAAATTCAATGCTAGCAACATCCTTTAGGATAAAAAAACTTCTCAAAAATTCTCATTATTTTAGCATTAGTTTATCTGAAGTGCTTTGTGTTCACAGGAAGAACAGGCAGCAAAATTGAAAGCTGAGAAGATCAGAGTTGCCCTAGAGAAAATTAAAGAAGCACAAGTGAAAAAGGTGATATTTGGGCTTTTTCCTGGTTTGGAATTTTTATCAGTTTTACGGATTTATAAAAAATTGCCTTGTTTCTGTAACGTACCCCTAAGACACATGGAGAGGTAGAGGGGTATTTCTTCCTAATATATTTTTCACATGTATTTTTTGTGGATAAAATGCATTATAAAAGAAGTAACTTTCTGGTTTAAATTCTCCTAAAAGAGCAAAACAAAATAGTCTTATTATTATAATCTTACCTGTTATTATAGTTTTAAAAATGTTTTAAATTTTTTTAGGTATGTTATTTGATACCTAATTTTAGAGTATCTTTCTTGCATAATAAAGTCATTATTTGTGTTTTAATTGATATTTAACCGAGGACATTACTCAGAACGTTACTTGATGTTGGAAGAAATTTCTAGAATGCCTATTTTTTGGTTTGTATTTAATTGCCTTTCTACCTGTTGTTATAGCTGGTGATTAGAGTCCACATGTCTGATGATAGTTCTAAGACAATGATGGTGGATGAGAGGCAGACAGTGAGACAAGTGCTGGATAACCTGATGGACAAATCCCACTGTGGGTACAGTTCAGACTGGTCACTAGTGGAAACCATCTCTGAGTTACAAATGGGTTAGTAATATCCTTGCTTTAATTACTTTTTAATTTCTATGTAATTTCAAGAGTTTTCATGTTGATAAAAGCACCTTGAGACATCTTTATATATATATTTTTTCTATAATATAACCTTGGCTTTTTTACACTATTCTTTTTTCAAGTATTTTGAGATTTCTTTGAATAACAAGATTTCAAGTTCACTTCAGATTTTCTTATGGCTAGAACAAAGTTTTTTTTTTTTTTAAGTAACAAGATACTCTTTCCCTTCAAATAAGAACTACATAGATCAATACATTTACTAAAGACTGTTATATTTATTCACATTTGTACTGAAGTCTATACACCAGCATTTGATTTCAGGGGAAACATAAAGCACATCTTTCTTGTTTTTAGCTAGATGTGCTAAGTCTTGCTTTATGATTTGTGGTTTGGTATGGTATTTTCTAATTTTAAAAATTCTTCATTCTTTATACCATTATTGACTCTTTTAAAATGTTTTCTTTTTGTAATCTCAGGTGATTACAGAAACCTTGCAATAATTGTTATTAGGCTTTTTGAATCAGTAATCAATATCAACTGGCAATTTTATTTTAAAACTGTATTTGCAGGCCAGCCCTGGTGGGCTAGGGGTTAAGTTCAGCCTGCTCTGCTTCCGCAGCCTGGGTACAGTTCCCCGGCGTGGACCTACACCACTCATCCATCAGCGGCCATGCTGTGACAGCAGCTTACATACAAAATAGAGTAAGATTGGCAACAGATGTTAGCTCAGGTCGACTCTTCCTCAGCAAAAAAAAAATGTATTTGCATTGCTCTTGCTACCTATTATATCTTTAAATATTTCACAACAGTTTCCAGAGAAATAAAGATTTAATTATTAACCTCTTTCACTCAAAATGTACATACGTAACCACCAAAAGTAAACCATAAGTTATTAGAAGTTTATTAACATTTATAAAAATGTTTTCTTACAATACTCATTTATAGCTATTCTTAGAGAATTGGGAAGGTTTGAATTCATAGATATAGCGTCATAATACACAGAAGATGTTTGGATGCAAGTTTTTGGAATATTTCCATGGCCATAGGTTAAAGACCCATATATGTAGTATTTCTCTATGACCTTTTAAATAATTGCCTCTAGTGTCTTAAGTAACTATTATTTAATCATATATGGCAGAGTGCTTCAAAGATAGTATGTGGTCGTCCATTACTTGTTGAATGAATAAAAGAAAAGAAGGGACTAAGAGCCCAAAATAAGATGGTGAAAACACATTATGATAAATGTAAATTACTCAATTAAACAGCAAAGATTATTAGAAAGGATGCATAAACAAAATGCAGCCATTTGCTGTTAACAAAAGACCTATTACCTAAAGATACAGAAAGGTTGAAAGTAAAGGAATGTGGGCCGGCCCTGTGGCTTGGTGGTTAGGTGCGCGCGCTGCGATGCTGGCGGCCCGGGTTCGGATCCCGGGTGTGCATCGAGGCACCACTTCTCCGTTCATCCTGAGGCCGAGTCCCGCATACAGCAACTAGAAGGATGTGCAGCTACGACATACAACTATCCACTGGGGCTTTGGGGGGAAAAAATAAAATAAATAAAATCTTTAAAAAAAAAAAAAAAAAGAAAGTAAAGGAATGTGAAAAGACACTAACCAAAAGAAAGATAACTATGTTAATATCCGACAAAGTAGACTTTAAGCAGAATGCATTACTAGAGATAAAGAGAACCAGCCTCTTCACCAGGAAGTTATAATCATTCTAAATTTTATTTTATAATAGCATTAAAATGTATAAAGCAAAAGTTGACAGAACTACCAGGAGAAATTCACAAGTCAACCTTCATAGTAGAACCTTTTCACCTAAGAACCTTTTCAGTGATCAGTATAATCAAGCAGACAAAAAGGATGTAGGAGATTTGAAAAATAATTTGATCTAATAGATGTATTTAGAACACTAATAACAGGAAAATATACATTCTTTCAAGCAGAAATGGAATATTTCCAAAAAGTGGTTCAATTATGATGCCATAAGCAACTCTTATGAAATTTCAAAAAATCAGTATCTAGATATATGTTCTTTGAACATATGTTCAATATATAGGACATGTTCTTTGATTCCTAATTTGGAAATTAGAAAATACATCTATGTTTAAAATTAGACAAAACCCATGGATCAAATAAGAAATCATCTCAGAAAATTTAAAAATGATAAGAATTGAACACTATTGGTAGTACTTAATATCAGAATTTATGAAATGCAACTAAACATGTTGGGTTTTTTTTAAGGGTGGAATGGGAAAAGGCTGAAGGCTGAAGACCTATAAATCAGATCTAGATTCTAGAACTAATTCTTCCATGTAGCAGCTGTGTGACCTTGCTGAAGTCACTTAACACCACTATGGCATGTTTCCTTATTTGAAAAAAGAAGACCAGATAATCTCTAAGGCCAAGGACAATAGTGTTGGTTAAGATTCTATGGTTCTGCTGTGAATTACTTCATAGAGTTTCATGTCTTTGATGCAATTCTGGTGAATACTGATGAGATATTGACATTTTATTTTGGGACAGAGAGAATCTTTGAAGATCATGAAAACTTGGTTGAAAATCTTCTTAATTGGACAAGAGATAGCCAGAACAAGCTTATATTTATGGAGCGTATAGAAAAATACGCACTTTTCAAAAACCCACAGGTGAGGCTGAATAACATAGAGGTCAGGATTTTTAAACGTTCATCTTATATCATTCTATTACCGCTAAGTTAATAGAGTTAAAAAACTGGCAACAACGTGGTTGGAGCATTGTGACTGCAAAACCTCATGGGAGCGTTCCCTACTGCTCAGGTGGAAAGTCTGCTGGGGTCCAGGTGTCAGGCCTCCAAGAGGTCACCAGTCCTGCAGAGGCAGCTGGGGTGAACCCTTGGGGAAGCAGAAGTAACTCCAGGGAGTTACCAGGTTTCTGCTCTCTGTAATCCAGAGTTCTGTTGAACCCAGCTATTTATTTGGTGAGTTTCTCATCCATGGGAAAAGTACTTACATATTTAAGTTTCTTTACTTCAGCCATTTATCCAGGTAACACTTTATTTTTATTTTTTTAAATCTCAGTAACTTTGATTATAAATGGTTCCACATTCTAATATATGTTACCTTGATTTATTTGGCATCTTTGCTTATTCCAAAATAATGTTTGAGTTAATACTTCCTAAGACCCAAAGATTTTATAAAAATTAGTAGGTGAGAGAATACAACCCCACTCTAAAAAGTAGTGATGAGGAAAAATAGTAGCCGTGTTAGAGGTGTTGAGTACTTATCCGTCAGCTTACTCAGGACATGTCTTTACTGGATATTTTTAGTGAAGAATGCACATACCAACAGATCTTTTTATGGGTGATTGTGAAAAAATTTTTCATAAGGCTAATAATTAGAAATCAGATTTTAGTTGAGTCAAGCAAATGAGACTATTATCAGAGGATTTTGGATTTCTTCTGTAAAAGCCAGAACGTAGAGAAAATTTTCTGTATGTGGACCAGTTAAACTCAGCATATTTTAAGGAAATTTACCTTACTCATACTTAATAATTTGTAAACCTTTCAGGTCCTGTAAGTGTAGCTTTCATTAGATATACCACAACATGGTTGCCAGCTGTTGCATCTAATATTACCTCAGGATTTGGGGGAGGGCAGTTTTTGGAATAATTCAGGGGAAACGCATAGGTGAGGAGGAGGCCAGTGTTAGGCATTTTAGTGAGGATGCCCATGCACAGGTTGCTTTTCGAAGGAGGGTTCCTCTCCCTCTGCACGGGCAGAAACTGACGCAGAGTTGCTGTGCCTCTAGAAGAAATCATACATGTACCTGTGCCAAGGGAATTATAGAGTAGGTTTATCCTTCAACTTTCATGTATTCGTTTTTCTAGAATTATCTTCTGGGGAAAAAGGAAACAGCTGAGATGGCAGATAGAAACAAAGAAGTGCTGTTGGAGGTATGACTCTTCCCTCCCTTCTCCCCCTTTTCCCTCCTGCACATTATAATATTAAATATGAAGCACCTTTTTGAAGGCAAATATGTTAAGGCTGTGTATTTATAATAGAGTTATAACTAGAGAAGCTTATATTCTTCCATAACCTGACAGAGAGAGTTCAACTGGGTAAACATTAGGCCACTGACAAACCTTTTAAAAACTATTATTTTGCCAAGCAATATACTAGTGGACTAAAGGGAGTCACGAGCTTTTAGGGGCTGATGAGTGGGAGAAAAGGCTGCTCAATGAAGGATGAGATTGTGCTGTTTTATCTGCTTTTCCAGAGAGATATTTGAGTATAGTTAGCTGTTTACAAACTATTTCAAGCCTTAGCCTTCAATAACTCAAATAATTTTAAAAGTTATAATGATTATTATAAAACAATCCAAACATAATTGAATTTTTGGCTTTTTGGCTTTTGCTGATTTTAGAAAACTAAGATCAAAGAAATTAGTATGTTTGAAAACCTGAATAAACTTTTACTTAGCAACAAGGCTATTAGGAAAATGAAGATCAGCACTCAGTTTTTCACAGTGATACTAGCTACAATTAAGAAAAATCCTTTTTGTAAGTCCCAATTTATCTGTACTTTGGAGAGAGAAATTAATTTAGGCTTAAAATGTCCTATGTTAATGTTTAGTGAGGATTTCTGTTTTTCTTTTACCAAATACATGATTCATTTTTAAAATTTAATTTTATCTAAGTATAGACTGGAATTCAAAATTTTGAGTTTGTTTACATTTTACTCAGCCTAGTATTAAATATTTAAAAAATAAATGCCCTCTTTGTTTTAGAATCATATAAATTGATAGTTTTTAAATTGTGAAAGTTTAATCATTCACTTAGCATGTTGCTTTCTTTTAAAATATATTCCTGTTCACCTTGACAGCTAATCTAAATGTGATGTTAATTTGGAGAAAAATCAAGTCTAATGCTTATGTTAGCTCTAACACTTTTATTAAACTTAGTATAGCTATGCTGTTTACAAGTGCATTTAGGTACTGTCATATGCAACTCTGCTGACATTTCACCTTAGTTTCTTCAAAACAGTGTTAGGTAAAAGCTCGTAGGGATTGCCAAAGTACTTCTGAAATAAATCCATATTATGTTGAGAATAGAAAGTTCTAATTGTGGTGCAATGAGCAACATGGTTTTAATACAAAGCCATTTTGGCTTAATTACAGTGTCATGCATTCACAGGGGTAACCACAACTTGTTCTGAGAATCCGAGGATCATATGTCTTTCCAAATCGTCTTCTTACTTTAGGAATGTTTCTGTGGAAGCTCTGTGACTGTGCCAGAAATTGAAGGCATCCTGTGGCTGAAGGATGATGGCAGGAAGTCCTGGAAGAAGCGTTGCTTTCTCCTGCGGGCATCTGGTATCTACTATGTCCCCAAAGGAAAAGCGAAGGTGTGTCCCTTCTGCCGGCTTCTGAGCTTCCTCGTTGTGCGCACTGATTTCAGTTTGTCGTGAATATGCTGACAGGGTTAATCCGGGCTCTGACTTGTTTCAGCTCAGGTGGGACACACAGAATGTTGCTCTGTTTATTGATCCATTATGAAGAAGAGGAAATCTGAAAATGTCCACTCTTTGGTCATTAGTGGGGCCATCTCGATTCTCTTGCAAAATTTGAAATCATACTTTTATTTAATATTTTTGAAACTTCTGCCAGAGTAGTTTTTGCTTGTTTTTGTTTGGGGAGAAGAGCTTCGGGGGCTTGTAGGTGTTTCAGCCTTGTTGAGTACTGTGATTCTGCTGAGGGCCCCTTGGTAGTTGTCACTTCTGTGTTCCTGGGGCCAGCACTGTTTTAAGCTCTTTACAGTATCATCTCGTCCAGTCTTTACCACCATCCTGAGAGGTACAGATTGTTGCCCCTGTTTAACTGGTGAGGAAACCCTGACCTGAGAATCATCGTACTTGAGGTATACGTTGCAGGTGCTGAACTATGACATTTTCTTGTTCTTTCCAGAGAGCTCTATTATACTGTGTTGTAGTTAATATACTATACTATATTTAAAGTCTCTTTTAAAATGCCACCCTTTCCAAGAAGTCAGTGTTCATTGTGAAAGGCGAGGCTGTAAGTAAAATGGACTGCCTTTTTTGTTGCATCATGGGTTAAAGAAGAAACATTTATAGAGAATCTTACTGTCTTGTCTTCTGCAAAGTAGCAGTAATTTCTACTTGGTAAAGTTTTGATTCTCAACTAGAAACTGTTACCAGGTATGATGTTTGCTTGTTTACACGACTGTTAATTCAGTCTTTTGTGTGTATCTTAGGTCTCTCGGGAGCTGGTGTGCTTTCTCCAGCTGGATCATGTCAACGTGTACTATGGACAGGACTATCGGAACAAGTATAAAGCTCCTACAGACTATTGCCTAGTGCTAAAGGTAAACTTGTCTCTCTTTTTAGGAATGTTAATTGGTGTCAGACATAGAGTTGGTTACTGGACGTTTTAGAATAGTTTGGCTCTCCATCAAGTATGCTCTTTTTGCTTTTCTCTGTAGGTTTCTAAAGGAATGGTGAGGACGGTAAGGAAAAGAAGCTTGTGCTCTCTACCACAGCTGACCCTTAGCTCAGTGGCCCTCGTTAGATTGATGCTGCTAAGACATGGATACTAGATTATAAGCTTTGAGGCATACTATACAAAATAGATTAGATTATAAATTTGAGGCTTTCATTTAATAGCAGGCTTATTTTAGGAAAACTTAGATCAGAGACAAAAGTGGGACATAGGTATTTTGTGTGTTCTGTTCTTTTCCTTTACTTACTCAGCAGAACCATCAGAGGGCACTGTGCCCAAGTTCAAAGTGGACTGGCTCTCACCTGGTCCAGAAATAATTTTTGTCTCTCTTTTTCCCCCAAACCATAGCCCTGATAGCCCACCCATGTATTATAGCCTGTCTGAGCTGTTCTTAGTGAGTTTTTTTTCCTCCTTTATCCAAACTTTTGAGCTTTTCACACGGATTATATCTGTACTTTTGAGAACTGACATTTTTAGTGAATTTTTAGTAATCATCCATAATTATGGATCTTGATATAAAGACAGCATTAAAAAATTCAGGGTAATTATGGATGAGTAAATTTTTCTCATTGGCTCTTTCTTAGTAACCCCTTGGTAACTACTTAGGTCTTAATATCATCGTTTGATTTTGCTTTTCTCTGAGAAGTGTCAGTTGGGTTTGAGGGGGTGGTATTTGTTTAGGGTTTTAGGGTTGAGTTTTGATTGCTTTGGTAAAATTAGGTGTATTGTAATGGTAACCCTTCATTAAATAACCCTTTCTTGAAGAATACCACTGTATCACTTAGGCTGTAGCAGCAAATAATTTTTAAAAAGTCAGTACAAAGTAGCTTAATCCAGCAGTTTTCAAAATGAGGTCCAGGGTTTCCTGGGAGTCCCTGAGACCCTGTCAAGGGGTCTATGATGTCAGAGTTACTCTTCTAATAATGCTAAGATATTATTTGCCTTTTACACTCTCATTTTCTCACCAATATAGTGGCGTTTTCTAAGAGGTTACATGACATGTGATGATATCTTTGCTGTCTTGGGTAGTGGAAATTTTTTCTGAGTTTTAATTTCTTGTAAGGTGAATATCAAAAGACAGAACCCATATAAATGAAAGTTATTTGGGGGTTTCATAACATGAAGACAATAAGAGTTGGTTATTTCAATGCCACAAGGTTGTCAGTGAGAACCCAAATTCTTTCCATCTTTCCCTGTCCCGTCTTCTGCATACCAGCTCAGAGAATACTGGGAACACTGAGAAAATGTTCAGAATACTGAGAGAATACTCGGGCCGGCTCACCTCACAGTCTCAGATGACCCCTGCAGCTCTGGGATCACATGTAGACCCAGCAGCAGAAGAGGGACTATTTCTCCCTGTATTTTTCTTTTTTAAGAGAAAGGAAATATTTCCCAAGAGCTACCAACAGCCCTCGCCTGAGGGTCACTGGCCTGGAGTACATGCTCACTCTTACACCAATCCCTGGCAAGGAACAAAGCCATGTTTTTGGGCTCAGGCTAGTCAGAATTCACACCCTGAGCTGAGCGGTGGACTTCCAAACAGAGATGGGGCTCTGTCGGGAAAGAGCGGGGGAGGAGCTCATAGCTGTGGGGAAGGCAACGCACAGTGTCTGTTACAGCTAAAATTAATTATGACCACTGACTGCTATTTTATTCCCTTTTGCAGCTCACAGAATTCTTAGGTTAAGAATGTTTTTGTTTTAAGGGGATTTTTGTTTGTTTTTATAATAATGATTTACTTCATATTTCCTTTTAGTAAAGTAGGTTAAGCTAAATTCATATATTGCCAACCTGTATATCAATGTATTGAAATAAAAAAACACCATACCACTAGGTGCAAATAATAGTAAACGTAATGGTCACCATTGAAGAACCAAGGCTGGCAGGCACTGCACTGGGAGCTCCGGACACATCAGTCTCACAGTCTGTTTTAGGGTTCCCATTTTCCAGATATGGAAACCGAGGTTTAGAGAGATCAGTTTGCCCAAAGCCACACAACTATTAGTATTTAAGACGTGTCTTTTTTCCTGTGAAGTCGTACTAGATTTTGCCTATGTCAGTGTCTTTATTCTTGAGCATGTGGGTTCTGACAAACAAATGAAACCAAAAAGTGCTGCCACATAGGGTCTACACAAATACAAAGGTACATATTTATAAGGCCTGATCCCTTTTGTCAGCTTCGGGCTGTAATGACTAAGTCTGAGTCCTTCCAGTGAAAAGCAGGATACAGGAAATATATACACACTTGTAGGAAGTAATAAAATACATCGTTTAGTAATTAGTTTTTTTTAAAGGTAAAAAAAATAATAGTGGGAAGAGCTTATTCATGAAATTTGACAGTATAGGAATAAATAGGACATATGTTGATATATTATCTGAAAGAGGTACCCGCTTGTTGGGACATGTGTATGCATGTGTAATTAAATAAGTTTCTTAAAGGAAACCTGTGTTTTTAAAAAATATATACCACAATAATTGTTGGAATAGCACTCAGCTTACCCAGATCTAAATTTTCATTCCTAGAGAAATGAGACAAAGTAATTTATTTTAGTACGTGAGGTAGGAAGGAGAAAGCTGTTAGGGTTTAGGGGTGGAATATGTCCATGAACTTCTCCAACACTGGTATTGATAGAGATGTCATGTATGATAATCAGGAAGTGACAAGGAGGGGTGTTGTATAGTCTTATTATTTACCATCTTGCATGTCAGTTGAGAGGGTTAATTTCAAGCCTGTATGTGTCTCCAGAGAATGATGGGTGGTTTACACTCTGATTTCCCTCTGGCACTTGGACTGTGATGTGAGGGCATCACTTGTAGTCACAGAGTTTTAGGAAATAGCTGTCTCAGTCTAATTTTTGACATAAACAGAAAAATAATCTGATAGCTCAATAGTAATCTAGAATTTCTTATTGTATTCTTAGATGTTTTTATGTAATTCTCAGATTTTTTATGTTTTATCAGAGAATGCAAACTTTCCAAATCAACAGCATTTTTTTTTTTTTTTTTTTTAAAGATTTTTTATTTATTTTATTTTTTCCCCCCAAAGCCCCAGTGGATAGTTGTGTGTCGTAGCTGCACATCCTTCTAGTTGCTGCATGTGGGACTCGGCCTCAGGATGAACGGAGAAGTGGTGCCTCGATGCGCACCCGGGATCCGAACCCGGGCCGCCAGCATCGCAGCGTGCGCACTTAACCACCAAGCCAGAGGGCCGGCCCTCAACAGCATTTTAAAAGTGAAACGATGACCTTTCTTTCTTAATAGCCGTTCTTTTGTTTTGGGAGCAGTTTCATTATATGTTCTCTGGACTCTAAGAATCTAAATGTTTAGCTTCTGGCTTTTAGCAACGACTTGTTTCCTCCATACTTGCTCTCAGCTCTTGTGGGATTTTAAAAGTGGTAGAATAACATTATGGGGAAAGAGGAGAGAGGCAGCAAACTAGGAAGAAGACGACTTCGCCCCTAACAAGGCAGCAGTGTGACAGAATGGTTAAGAGCCCGCCCTGGGACCAGAGCACTTGGTTCAGATCCCAGTTCTTCCCTGACTGGCGAGCAGCCTGGAGTGCTGTCTTCACTGTCTGTGCCTCCAGTTCTTCTTGGATCGTGGAGATAAAAATATGTAACTCATAGGGTTTCGTGAGGGTGGAATGAGCTAATACCATGAAGTATTGAGCATAATGCCCAGTACATACTAAGTGCTCAGTAAGTGCCACCTTCAATACGGGAACAGGCAACCTGTTGAGGTATTGGTGCCTGGACAACCATTGTGAAGGCTACAGAAGGAATGTCTTATTCATTCCTTTTTTTTTGGAAGATTGGCCCTGAGCTAACATCCGTTGCCAATCTTCCTCTTTTTTTTTTTTTCTTTTTTCTCCTCAAAGCCCCCAGTACATAGTTATATATCCTAGTTGTAGGTCCTTCTAGTTCTTCTATGTGGGACGCCGCCTCTGCATGGCTTGATGAGCGGTGAGTACGTCCGCCCCCAGGATCCAAGCTGGCAGACCCCAGGCTGCCAAACCCCGGGCCTCCAAAGCGGAAGGTGTGAACCTAACCATTGTGCTACTGGGCCAGCCCGGAATGTCTTATGTGAGAGGTTGGAAAATAATTTTTGAGATCCTAAGATGAATTTTAAACTAGCAAGTAATCTGCAGATACTCAACTAATCATAGTATTCTTCAGGGTACTATTTGGGTTCCCAGCTTAGAGAGATGTGGAGAGAAGGATAGAGGATCATTTCTCTTTGGTTTTCTCTGATGTCGTGTTGATAAAAACACTCTGTTTGTGTGGAGAACGAATAGAACACACACACACTGTCAGGCAGGACTACTGCTACAGTTGAACACCCAAGTGTGGTGGCCCTGCTCTCGGGAAGTGGAAGGAATCAGTCAAGAATGGTTTGTAAATCACCACAGAGGAAGGGGTTGGTGATGATGCCTGAGTGCCATCCTGTAGCCCCTTGTTGAGGAGTCTGATCCCTGCTCTGTAGTCAGGGCCTCAGTGAAGCAGGAGATGGAGAACAGCTCTTCAAAGCCCTAGCTGGCAACACTGAAGAAAGCTCTTGTTCAGTTGGCCCATTTTATCTTCTACACGAACTGTGGCCTCTTCTGTTTTGCTCACACTCTATCCCAACACCTACTTGAAGCATCTGGCAAATAGTTCTTGCTCAATAAATAGCTGTTGAATGAATGAATGAGATAAATTCTTCTTCTTCCTTTTATAGAAAAATACATCCTCTACTGGTCCTCCTTTGCTCTTTCAAGATTACTATGATGGTTTATTATAATGTGACTTAATATGGACAAGGGAACTTATTGTAGCAGAAGGCTGTGGAGCCTATATTATCAGGAGGGAAAACTGTTAGGTATTGTTTTGCTAACCTATTATTCTTTTTTTTTTTCTTTATTGTGAAGTTTTTGTTGTACGTTATTGTTTGTCAGTCACCACCATATAAATGTATCCCTTCACCCCTTGTGCCCACCTCCCACTCCCCTTTGCCCCTGGTAACCACTAAATAGTTCTTTCTGTCCGCGTGTTAGTTTATCTTCCACTTATGAGTGAAATCATACGGTGTTTGTCTTGCTCTTTCTGGCTTATTTCACTTAACATAATACCTTCCAGGCCCATCCATGTTGTTGCAAATGGGACGATTTTGTCTTTTTTTATAGCTGAGTAGTATTCCATTGTATATATATACCATATGTTCTTTATCCATTCATCAGGTCGAGGGACACTTGGGCTGCCTCCATGTCTTGGCTGTAGTGAATAATGCTGCAATGAACATTGGGGTGCATAAGCCTCTTTGGATTGTTGATTTCAGGTTCGTTGGATAGATTCCCAGTAGTGGGATCGCTAGATCATAAGGTATTTCTATTTTTAATTTTTTGAGGAATCTCCATACCGTTTTCCATAGAGGCTGTGCCAGTTTGCATTTCCACCAGCAGTGAATTAGGTTTCCTGTTTCTCCACAGCCTCTCCAGCATGTGTTGTTTTTTGTCTTGGTGATTATAGCCATTCTAACGGGTGTAAGATGATATCTTAGTGTAGTTTTGATTTGCATTTCCCTGATGATTAGTGATGTTGAGCATCTTTTCATGTGCCTATTGGCCATCTGTATATCTTCTTTGGAGAAGTGTCCGTTCATTTCCTCTGCCCATTTTTTGATTGAGTTGTTTGTTTTTTTGTTGTTCAGTTGTGTAAGTTCTTTATATATTATGGAGATTAATCCCTTGTTGGATGTATGGTTTGCAAATATTTTTTCCCACCTGGTGGGTTGCCTATTCATTTTGATCTTGGTTTCGTTTGTCTTGTAGAAGTTCTTTAATCTGATGAAGTCCCTCTTGTTTATTTTCTCTTTTGTTTCCCTTGTCTGAGTAGACATGGAATTCAAAAAGATCCCTTTATGACTGATGACGAATAGTGTACTGCCTATATTTTCTTCCAGGAATTTTATAGTTTCAGGTCTCACCTTCAGGTCTTTTATCCATTTTGAGTTAATTTTTGTGTCTGGCGAAAGAAGATGGTCTACTTTCATGCTTTTGCAAGTGGCTGTCCAGTTTTCCCAGCACCATTTATTGAAGAGACTTTCCTTTCTCCATTGTATTTTCTTAGCTCCTTTGTTGAAGATTAGCTGCCCCTAGATCTGAGGTTTTATTTCTGGACTTTCAATTGTGTTCCATTGATCTGTGTGTCTGTTTTTGTGCCAGTACCATGCTGTTTTGATTACTGTTGCTTTGTAGTATGTTTTGAAGGCAGGGATTGTGATGCCTCTAGCTTTGTTCTTTTTTCTCAGGATTGCTTTAGCTTTCCCTACCCTCTTATTCTTGAGGGTTTATTGTTTAAAACTTTGTAGCCTTCCATAACTAAATTGGTATTGGTATTAAATGTTTTATCGTGGGAGCTTTGTAAAGCAATGAGTAGAATAGAATAGAATAAATGGGCTTGCATTTCTCTCACTGTAGACCAGAGGGAGTGACCTTTCACAATGCAGACATAACTTGAACTGGTGGCCATCTATTCCTGCTGCATTGAGAACTTAGTAAGATTGCTTATTTAATTGATCTGACTGGTTTCCACAACAAACCAATGTGGTTAGAGAATTTTTAAAGCCTCTTTCTTATCATTAAACATAAATTTACATATTTCTGCAGGTAAAATATTGTCATTATTTTTTTATTTTCCAGAATAACTGAAAAGAGAAGTAGTAATTAACAGTCATTACATCCAGAACCAAGTGTGATTTAGAGTTTTTCTTCCTAGGGACCTAGTGGTTGTGGCCCAGTGGAGTTAAAATACCTTAAGTCTGTTCTAACACTTGCATTTTGAGCCAAGGTCAAGTCGGTCACCTCGCATCCAAGGCTCAACTGAGGAGTTTTCAACTGAAAACTCAGTCTGAGGATGCAGTTGACAAGCTGCTCATTCCCTGGAGGGCATCTGCTCTGGGTGCAGAGCTGTCTCAGCCCTTGGCAAGGAGCCCTGCTGCAGCTGTGTGAGCGCCCACCTGCGTCCCAGGTGCTTGGCCTGCACTTCGTCCACCCCGCCCGTTGTTCACCTCCAGAGGAGCACTGGGAGCGCGACCGAGACTCTCATTTGGAGTCTTTTGAACCCATGATTTCAGTGGCTTCAAAGTAAAATCAAACATTCTCTGCCCTTTTCATAGTCTTATAGATTTAAGAATTCTACTGACTTTGCTAACCTTGATGGACTTTGTTTCTTTGAAATACAGAAGACGTATTTGGGAATTTCCCATCATGTGAAGGATTTTTTTAACTTGGACGTCTTGACCTAAAATTTAACACACGGTTTCTTTCTAGCTTATTTTGTAAAAATACTTATGGGTCGTTTTATTTGGGCTTATGGCCATGTAAGAGAGAGAAATTATTTGGCCATTACTCTGATGGCCTGTAACTTGCCTGTCAAGATATGCTGAAGCTTGGATAGCGTTTATTTCTCCTAGTTCTCCAGCGGACTTAGTTGGCTTTTGCTCTAATGTTGCAGCATCCGCAGATCCAGAAGAAATCTCAGTACATCAAGTACCTTTGTTGTGACGATGTGAGGACCCTGCACCAGTGGGTCAATGGCATCCGCATCGCAAAGGTGGGCTTTCTTTGGTTGGATGCTGGAACAACGAGGTGTTGAATGATATGGCTTTGGTTGTCATGACAATTATTCTGATCGTTTCATGTTCATGATTTGCCAATGTCTAGTTTTCTCAGGCCTAAGTTTCATGTTTTAAATGTTGTTTTTCCTTGATGATGGGGATAAACTTTTAACAGTTCGTATCCAAGGAATAATCTGCTGGTAAAGCTTGTGTAGCATCAAAGTGATTTATTTTGGCTTTGGAGAACACATTATATGATTGTTACCTAGCAGAGTTTAGCCTAAACAAAAAGAAATTTTTAAAAAATTAAATTGCCTTGGGATGGGGGAAGGGATGAATAGGTGGAGCACAGAGGATTTTTAGGGATGTGAAAATATTCCTAGTCTGCATGATACGACAGTGGTGGATATATGATCATTATACATTTGTCCCAACCCATAGGATGTTCACCACCAAGAGTGAACCTAAGGTAACTGTGGACTTTGAGTGATGTGATGTGTCAGTGTAGGTTCATTGACTATAACAGATGTGGACAGTAGAGGAAGCTGTGCATGTTTAGGGGCTGGGGGTATATGGGAAATGTCTGTACCTTCCTCAGTTTTGCTGTGAACCTAAAACTGCTCTAAAAAAAAAGTCCTAAAAAATTTTTAAGGACATCTTAAAGATGATTATACATAACGCTTGAATGAATATTTATGCCTACTAAGTAATGGAAAATAAAATTTATTATAGCCATAAAATCAAAGTTGCTTTAGGAATAACTGAAAAAAATCTTTATATTGATAATGAACATAATCAGAATCAAGTGTTAACTTCTTGCTGCCTTTCTGAAAATGAGGAAAAATAAGAGTAGATTATAACTTACTGGTGTTAAAAGAATTTTTGAAGTATTATAGGTATTAATTTTAATACAAACTGTGAATCAGTCTAGAGAAATGTGTCCCCTGTTCCTACCCCATCCATGTTATACCCAGTAAAGTTCAGATGTCATCATTTCCTGCCTTCTGTTTAGTACGGGAAGCAGCTCTACATGAACTATCAAGAAGCCTTGAAGAGGACAGAGTCGGCTTATGATTGGACTTCCTTATCCAGCTCCAGCATTAAATCAGGATCCAGTTCTTCCAGCATCCCAGGTAGTCTGAACGCCAAGCACTGTTTACTGCCAATACGAAGGGCTCACTCTAGAGACTGACAGTAGACCTGATTACCGCAGCGTGATTTTTAAAAACCAGAGCCATACCTAATTTCTAAATTATAATCAATAGGTGTATGTGCTTTTTTGTTGTTGTTAGAGGGGATCACATCATGGGCTAGTTCACAAACATGTTTGAAATTAAAAACCATTATGTAGAGTTGTAAAGCCAGGAGTTTTGTTATATAAAGTTTATTTAAAACTCAATCATACTACTGAAAAACAACTGTTGATGCATAATTGGGGATCGAAAGTTACTTGGAGAGCTTCTCTGTGCTCAGAATCCATGATGAAACTGCCCGCCTTCCCCACACGTTTCCTGACATTTCACTAGAGTGGAAATAACTAGAATTAGCTCAGTGTCAGTTAAGGAAGCTGTTTACATCATCAAACTTTCTAAAGTTTTCAGAGGAAATCAGTGATACTCAAAAGGTGCTTATTTTCAGATTCCCACATCCTAACAAGTACGCTGTGATCACATTTTCAGATAAAGGTTTCTTTCCCTTCAAAATGTTCCATAAATGATATCTGTGTCGTCTAAAAGCAGAATTTTTTCTTTGTTCTGAGATCACATGTTATGAAAGGAATAATTACTTTAAGAAGTATTTGATTAAAAAGCTGTATGATGTGATTTCCTCCCTAAATAAGAAAAACAAATTTAGAATGTGTATTTCATGGGTTAGCATATATACATATATTTCCTAGTTTTGTCCATTGAGAGGGGCTAGGAGCAGTGACCCCCAGTAGCAATAATAATGACCACCTAGATCTTGGTTTCTAATACCATTCTCCAAAAAAAAAAAAAAAAAAGGGAACCAGGCCTCTTGGGGGAAATGGCTGATTGTAGAGCTATGGTAGAGAAACTAGAAGATGAGCCTGGAGCATCTTGTAATGCCAGAAATGAAGGAAATGCTCCAGAAAACACAAGGATGGGAGTATGGAAAAGGGGCACAGGAGGCAACCTGAGAGCTTCCAATGGCCAAAGCTGGAACAATTTGAGCAACAAAATAACAAGATTATAACGGAAATTATAAAACAGCCATCAGTCCATAATGATATAAATTATTGAATAAATAAATGAGGAAGAAGAGACAAATCTTGCATACAGAAGATTTTTCAGTGATTCATGCAGATACTCTACCCTCAGAAGGTGGAGCTTAACTGCCCCCTTAAGTGTGGCCTGTGCAGGGGGGCTCACTTCCAAAGAGCACAGTGCGGGCAGTAACTTTACAGTGGAGACACCTCACAAATCACCTCGGCCAAGTGATCAAGGTCAGCATCATGGTAATGTTACACCGATAGCATGTACCCTTGATACAATGTGATGAGACTGTCATTTTCCCTCTCTTGGTCTTCCTCCCCAAATCCCATAACCTCGGTCTAATCAAGAGAAAAATATCAGATAAATCAAAAGCAAGGAAAGTCTGAGAAACTTTCATAGGAGACATGACAGCCAACTGTAATGTGGGATCCTGGATCAGAAAATGGACATTATGGAAAACTAGTGAAATCTGAATAAAGTGTAGGGTGTAGTTAATAGTAATGTATCAATGTCGGTTCCTTAGTTGTGACAAATGTACCATAGTAATGTAACATGTTAATAACGAGGTAAACTGGGTCCTAGGTATGCAGGAACTCTGTGCTAACTTTGCAACTTTTCTGTAAATCTTAAACTATTCTAAAATGAAACATTTATTAAAATAGGAAGAAACCTATGAGATAATAGATTAGGAAAGGCAAATTAACAGTATGTTGCAAGTAGGATTTTAGAAAAAAAATTAAGGGAAAGACTGAGAAACAAGATACATAATATTTATTAAAATTTGTATAGCAGGTAACAATTCAAGTTCTTCCACAAATTATTTTATGAAGTGGCGTGGTGCCTTTTCCTACTCCAGCACCATCTGTCCATATACAGTGTGTAAAGTATTAGGCAGACTTTTTAATGTAAATCATAAAATCATATTCGTTCATGCTGAGGAGAGTTCAAGGATTCATGTGTCCCAGCCTCTTATAAGCTGTTGTCCTTAGATATTAATTAAATAGGGATGAAGCTGTAACTTTTAAAAACCACTCAGCTACTGAATGATCAAGACAGAAGAAAATAAAGTAGGTTTTATCTGATGTTGCTTATATTTTTGCCCTGAGGGTATCTTAACTTTATCCACCCATTATCCATAATAGTTTGTGGCTATTATCTCTGCACTGCTCTGGCTAACTTGGCTGGACTTGCTAAATATTGCAAGCTCGTAATCCGAGAGTGATTGGATGGGACTGGCTTTAACATTTGCATCTCTACCAGGTGCCAGGCATTGAGTTAGGTGCTTCCGCATGGTTCTCACCTGACTTGGAGTCCAGTGAAATAATCTTCCCAGTTCCTTCTCCCTGGATGTCAATTGAAGATGCACTGTATCCTCAGCAGTTCCCAGCTCCTTTGAAGATGTTTTCATGCCTTGTGGGGGCCTACAGTGGGGCTGCTACCTTGTGGTGCCAATACCTGAATCCTAGAAAAAACACTTCTCACTTGGGAGTGAAATTCTAAGTGCTGTTCGTTGCTGGGATAAAGGAAGTAATCATCATGTATAGATCTGAATTCATAAGTGAGAACTCTCTGGGATGGCCAGGAGCCAGGGGTATATAAGAAGATGGATTCTCAATGTAGTGAAGACACGATTGAAAAAAAAAAAAATCACTCCTCTTTGATGGTTCATTAATTCTCTTATTTGCTAGGAATTGATTTCTTACAAGACGGGTTGTCAGGATACCAATAATGTTATATGAACCTTTTATTGTAATTATCAGTCTCTCGTAGTGAACTATTTAAAAAGAATTGAAATTTCCTATTAGCCTTAAGATAAGGGAAGTTTTCTTTTTTGTGTGTGTGAGGAAGATCAGCCCTGAGCTAAGATCCATGCCAATCCTCCTCTTTTTTTTTCCGCTGAGGAGGACCAGCTCTGAGCTAACATCTATTGCCAATCCTCCTCAAGATAAGGGAAGTTTTCTAGTGGAAGATACCGGCTGTGTTTACATGAAATGAGTTGAGTAAAATTAACTTGTTGCTGTTTCTACATGGCATCTGGTTTTGTGTAAAAGATCTGTCTAAATGTACATATTCACACTGTCAGAATACTGACTTACTTGATCCTATTTTTGAAAATCTGTTTTGAACAGAGTCTCAGTCAAATCACTCTAATCAGTCTGATAGTGGAGTGTCTGACACGCAGCCGGCAGGCCACGCCCGCTCCCAGAGCGTCGTGAGCTCCATCTTCTCCGAGGCCTGGAAACGGGGCACACAGTTGGAAGAGTCCAGCAAGGTAACACACCTGTGTTAATTTATACAGAAACCCCTGTGGTGTTCCACGGGTTTAGTTTGTTGCTCTTTTGTTCCTTTATCAGGAGTCTTTCTTGGTCCACTTTCAGTATTCTTTCTTTCACTTCCCTCAGAATGGGCTCTAATGACCTAAGATCTAAAAAAAACCTGGCAGGTTAACTCCTTTATCAGTGGCTCAGAATATCAAGAAATAACCATTTTTTCCTTTCTACCCTTAATTAATTTGGATGGAGCAACACCATTTAGTGCCAATGCCCTAATTTTGTTCCATAGGAGCTGCTAATGGTTGATTATTTCTTTATTCATTGTTAATTTAACTCATTCAGACTCATTCCTTTATCTTTTATGCTTTTTGGCATTTCTCTGCACTTGATGAATTTTCTCAAATTATAGTTTATGTGGAAGACTAAATTCAAATTAATCTCCTTAAAATTTTGGATCCCTGAGCCTTGCACAGTAGACTGTTCAGTGATACTGAAGGACGAGTATACTTATTGCAAGGCTATTTAGAAAAATAGGTTTCTTTAGCCTGGTTGAAAGACACTGTATCACATTGCCTCTGAAGTTCTGTGGGAAGGGTGTGTCCCCGCTCTCTCACCCTCAGCAGCCTGAGCTCAGCCATGACCAGGGCACCAGTGGCACCCCCGGCCTGACCATTTTGTTAATGAACAGTTTGATTTTTTTTGTTGTGGTCTGGATCACTTATACAAGTACATTCACCAACAAGAATTAAATGGCTATTTTCCCTCAGTTTGTTTATTTGCATATGTGGTTGAATAACTGGCCCTCGGGAGGGTGGAGAAGGCATTAGCAGCCCAGTGTGGGGGTGGAACACTTTTTTTTAGATATAAGTGTTTGAGAATTGGTTCTAATGACCTAAATTCTCAAGACAGTGACAGTTGAAGTCGCTTGTCAGAGGCTCAGACTTTTAAGAAAGAATTCTCTCTCCCTTCCCCTACTTAATCCACTTGGATGAGCAGCACTATCTGGTGCTAACCCTCTGGGTATGTTGTGGAGAAGCAGGTTTCCACAATGCAGATATCTAAAGAAGAGTCCTTCACCTTCCTGAGTTTCTAATGGTGTTATCCATGTGTACTCTAAATTAGAGAACTACCCCATTGTTATGAGGAAGGCCGAGGTCCAAGTGTGCTGTGATTGAGCAGCGTAGTCTGTCCTTGCCCCAGTGTCAGAAAGAGCGCGAGCCCTGCACGCAGCTGGGACGAGTGTTTGAGTCTTGATCCTCCTGTGTGTTTCTTCTCCTGTTACTTCAGTCTCAGGTGCCAAATGAGAAGGCCAGCTCAGCTAAGGTCTGCACCCCTGCAGCAGCCAAGAGAGGGTCAAGTTAAGGTCAGGGGCTGATCTTTGGAAACACATTAACCTGGGTGACTCCTGTAACCAGATCTTGCAGACTAATGCTTTTACTTTGATGTGCAATTTTTAAAGAAACATGTGAAGGTCCTGATGGGCATTAGAATTCAGCCCTGTAATGAGCCTTCCAGTCTACTAACCTAAGCATTCTCCATGCTAAGCAGAGATCATTCATAATTGGAAATAAATGATTGTCTGGGATCCTCACAGTTTGTTCAAAGAGCCTAAAAGATCTACCCAAAATTATTAAACCAAGGATCCTTCCTTTGCTCTTTCAAAAGTACTTGAACCACATTCATGCATGAGTAGCTCCATGAAATAAATGACCAGATGTGGTAATTTGGGAGATGCCAAGAGGTGCCCACATGGGCTGGTCAGCAGGGTGTTGGCAAACTCTAGCTCCCATTTCTTGGTACGTTTCCTTTACAAGCCTTCTGAAGTTTCCTCTCATTTTCTTTTGTTTTTTTCTGTACGATATTTTTATGATCTTTTGCTGTAATGTTTATGAAGCATTTCTTTATGTATTTTTGCAGTAAAACAAATGTAAAGACTGCCCCCCCTTTACCTGCATTGCTGGACTTCTGTGCATGTTGGATGCAAGTGTGTGTGTCAAGCTCATTCACGCCTGTGTGATTGTGCACGCCTGCTGCTGTTCTCACTCACGCGTCAGCTTACTAGCATCCAAAGCCACCCTTGCTCTTCGCGAGGCCCTCCAGCAGGGCTCCTGAACCCCGTGTGGCATCGCATCTGCTTGATGGGGATGCGGTGGTGGACTGAAAGGTGCACTGGAGCCCTGGCATCTCCCTGCCCGGCCGGGCGGGGCCCAGGGCCCAGAAGCCCTCAGGAGAGCCCTCCGGGGGCGGGTGTGTGACACCAGAGGTCAGAGAGCAGCCTGCCCTGCACCATTAAGCAGCTTCTGCAGGACGACCTTTTCCGCAGACTGTCAGGCAGCCTGGTTGTTTGAGAGTGTTGTGAGTAGACGAATGTTCTCTGCACCCCTGGTGCCCCGAGGTCCGGTTTTCCCCTTCCTGACATTGCCCGTCTGCATCGTCACAGCTGCTGCATCCTGCCACCCTGTCCCTGAGGCTTGCTTTTTAGTTGTACACAGTCACAGCGCCCCTGTAACTGTTTTGTCTGTTCTCTCTCTCCCATCCCTTCTCTACTCCTTTTAGGCCAGAATGGAGTCCATGAATCGGCCCTACACGTCACTGATGCCCGCTTCATCCCCGCAACCTAAGCTGGTCACCCCCTACACTGCCTCCCAGCCCTCACCGCCTCTCCCGCCGCCTCCGCCGCCGCCCCCTCCTCCCCCGCCACCGCCCCCACCACCGCCCCCTCCTCTGCCCAGCCAGTCTGCACCCTCGGCCGGCTCCGCGGCCCCCACGTTCGTCAAGTACAGCACGATCACCAGGCTGCAGAACGCGTCTCAGCATTCGGGGCCCCTGTTTAAGCCGCCACCGCCCTCGGTGCTGCAGCCTCTGTCCTCCGCCTCACAGTCAGGGAAGCCTCAGATCCTGGTGCCTCCTAACGGGGTTGTGCCCCCGCCCCCGCCGCCGCCCCCGCCGCCCACTCCGGGCTCGGCCATGGCCCAGCTGAAACCCGCGCCCTGCGCCCCGTCCCTTCCGCAGTGCGGCCCCCCTGCGCCACCACTGAAGATTCATCACGTTCAGCATGTTACTCCAGCGGCTCCTCCGACAGCCCCCCCACCTCCCGTGCCTGCACCCCTCCCTCCCCAGGCCCCCCCCAAGCCCCTCGTGACCGTGCCCCTGCCAACCAGCACCAAGACTGTGCTACCCCTTGCGATACAAGCTGTGCCACCGACACCTACTCCTCCAGTCCCCCCAGCAAAAAAGCAGCCAGCTTTTCCTGTTTCTCACATCCCTCCCTCTCCCCCCACCCCTCCCAGTCCAGTACCCCCGCCCACGCTACCCAAGCAGCAGAGCTTCTGTGCAAAACCGCCTCCCTCCCCGCTGTCCCCGGCGCCCTCGGTCGTGAAGCAGATAGCCAGCCAGTTCCCGGCCCCTGCGCCGGGGGAGCCGCAGGCCCTGAAGCCCACCCCAGCGGGTGCGGCGCCGCAGTCCCCTCCTGCCGTGAAGGCCAAACCCAAGTGGCAACCCAGCGCCCTCCCTGTCCCTTCTCCGGACTTCCCCCCTCCTCCTCCTGAGAGCAGCCTGGTGTTCCCTCCTCCCCCGGCCCCGGTCCCGCCGCCGCCCCCGCCGGCCACACCCGCAGCTGTTCCCGCCCCCGACAAAAGCGGGTCTCCAGGCAAAAAGGCCGCTAAGACGGCCAGCCCCGGGGCGAAGAAGCCGCCCCCGACGCCGCAGCGGAACTCCAGCATCAAGTCCGGCGGCGGCGCCGAGCCCCCCGAGTCCAAGAGGCCCTCGGTGGACAGTCTGGTCAGCAAGTTCGCGGCGCCGGCAGTACCGTCGGGGTCTCCCGGCAAGGAGAGCCCGCCGCCTCCTGCGGCGCCCCCCAAGCCCGGGAAACTCAGTGTCTCCGGAGTGCACCTGCCGGGCGTGCTCCCGGGGGTCGTGTCCGCGAAAGCGCCGGGCCTGGACGCGCGCGGGGGGGACTCGGGGCATGAGTTTCCCTCCCCGCCGTCCGACTCGGACTTTCCGCCCCCTCCGCCCGAGGTAGAGCTCCCGCCGCCCCCCGTGGAGATCCCGGCCGTGTTCTCGGGAGGCGCTTCTCCCAAAGTGGCCGTGGTCACCCCGCAGCCGCAGCCGTGGGCCAAGGCGTCCGTGAAGAAGGCCCCGCCGCCCACGCGCCCCAAGCGCAACGACAGCACGCGCCTCACGCGCGCGGCGCCCCCCGAGCAGCCGGTGGCCGCCGTGCCCCCCGCGCCCACCTCGCCCAAGTCCGGCCTCGGTGTCCAGCCCGCCTTCCTGGCCGACCTCAACAGGACCCTGCAGCGGAAGTCCATCACCCGGCACGGCTCCCTCTCCTCCGCCCGAGTGTCCAGGGCGGAGCCCACGGCCACCATGGATGACATGGCGCTGCCCCCGCCGCCCCCCGAACTGCTTTCTGACCCGCAGAGAGCTGCTTACGGAGGCAGTCACATCTCAGGCTATGCAACCCTGCGGAGAGGGCCCCCTCCGGCACCCCCCAAAAGAGACCAGAACACCAAGCTCTCCCGAGACTGGTGATTTTAGGACTTTATTCCCACGCTAGCTGTCATCAGTCCTCCAGTCAGCTCACCCGATCATCTGTGAATTCAGGTGTTCAGAGCTTCCTGGTCTGACGTCGTCGTTTGGGTCGTGTCCAGCGGTGTGTGTACGTGTGCGTGTACACACAGCTATACATAGTGTGTGTATGTGTATGTATACATATATGTATGTGTATATGTATATATATATAGCTGAGAGTGATTCTATTTATTCCTTTTCTCTCCTAATCTGAAAATGGGTTTTGTGTATTTTGGGTGGAAGAGGCATGGAAGGCAATGTGTGTCCTGTCCCTTATGATTTCTATTATCTGTCATGTGGATTGGACCAAACACTTTTAATGAGTTATTTAGAAGGTATTTTATAAGTGTCCATTTGCGGCCTACCTGTGCATGTTGTGTATTATATATTAAGGAATAGATGTATAATGTGCTGATTCTCAGTTTGAGAAGACAACCAGAATGTTGGGTGTATCTGTGGGGCTTTTGTGTTGGTTTTCTCCCCAGCTGGCTGAAGTTAGAGCTGCCTGACCGACACTTCATGACTGTTCATAAAGGGCACTTTAAATCAGGAAAGTCTCAGCCTCGTAAAACGGGTTAATAGTGCAGTATGGGGCGCCCACAGGCACTCTCTGTACGTGGTTGTGCACAGACAGTACCTTCACGGGGCGACTAAACCATGGGAGCCGCAGCCCTGCTGCAGGGGCCCCGCCCGGATCTGGGAGGCATTCTGTCACAGGTAAGCTCTGCCCACAATACATGGATCATTGAGTGCTGGGATCCGGACAGCTTTCTGTCCTTTTCCTGAGCTTCGTGAAGCTTCATGCGTGGCTTCACGATCCTTGCTTTGATTCATTCTAAGAGAATACCCGACATGATACCCTTGGAATGCTCTGTCCCAGTGTCTCTGGGTCACCAGTTATTCTCTTATAGTGTGTGCTCGAGGTAGATGTTATTAGATATCTGTAGACAATTGCTCTCTCAAACATAGACATCCTGTGTCTGATACGGTGCATCATTAAGGAAAACAAAATCACCTTCTGAAATGCATCTTTATGTGTATTGTTCTCTAGAAGGATGGGTGATTAGAAAAGAGAACAAAACTGGCCCCTGTGCAGCTGTCATTAATCAGGTTATATATGGACTGTAATGTGTAACAGAAAGAATTCATGTAAGTATGGGACTTTCATGGAGGGGGAAAAAAAAATGAGGTTGTGGACAGTTTCATCCATAGCTACTGGAGCACACGAGGACCCTTGCTGCTTGTAGCCTGGTTGTGGAGCTGTGACCAGGTCACCAGGTGTTCTGATGGAGTGGTCTAGTCCAGGTACACTAAGTGACATTACGTAACATGCATGTGCAAATTCGTACAACATGGAATCATGCTCTGATGACACACTTTAATTCTGTAAGTTTTACATTATACTTCATATTGTTTTCTTGTGAATTTTCCTTGGTATATGAGATAAATGTGTACATCTCATCAATTTATGATGATAAATTGACCATTAGGAATAAAATGCAATCTCAGAGCTGCTCTTAAACCATAGAATAAAAACTAGCCATCCCAGCAATGATAAATGAGCACATCTTGGAATGAAAGTCTATGCCTGTTGTGAATAAGGGTTACCAAGGAAAAAGTGGGGCAGATAGTAATAACTCAAGCCTAAGTGGAAGCTGTGCTGTGTCCCTGGCCATCCCTGTAACCGGCTCTCCAGGAAGGGCTGCATCAGAGAGAAGATAGTGGCACCTACCCCCGCCACGTCTCCAGGATGTGAGTCAGTATATTCATGTGGTTACAGAGCAATAAGAATATACACCAGTGTGCATTTTTAAAGCCCTGCTTCTTTAAAAGACACTTTGTGGATCTTTCAGTTGTTAACAAAGTTTTGTGTGCTTGATATTCTTATGCTTATGAAGTGACCTTGAACACATCTGCATTGTTATTCAAGCATGCACAGCAATGTGGGTTACACTTGAGTCCAGATTGCCAGCTCCACTGTGACTCAGGAGTGAAGTCTCTTCCCGTCGTCTTCTGCCTGCAGCTTTATATTCTAAAGATCACTCTTATTTGTGGGGTAAAGAGTTACTATGAATCCAATGATAGAAATATGCATCACTAGGATTTTTTGTTGGGGTGGCGGTGGTCTTTTTAAATATGAAAGTGGACAACTTCAGCTTTCCTTGAAGGAAAAGAACAATGCTTCCCCTCCATCTTCCTGCACCCATGATTTGAGCCCTCAGTTGCAGCCTTTGTGTTTCCAGTGCGGGATCTGCTGGGACTCCTTGCTCGCGTCAATCCTGATAGCCATCCTGAACCGATACTTTAGTGTCTCCTTTTCCTGAACGAGCAGACGTCCTTTAGAACACTAAGGACACCAAGAAGAGGGCAGGGCCAGAGGAGGGTCCGTGTCACGTCTACCCCAGTCCAGCGGGGCTTGTGTGACAACAGGTTGTTTCCATTTCTCCAAAGACAGAAAAGGCTATTATTAATCAACTTAGTTTTTTTCCTTTATGTGTGAAACAACTGCATCAAAAAAAACCAAAATATTTTAGATTTTACTTTCAGTGTTTTACTCCCTAGTGGGGTTTCCTTTAATTTGAATTTTTGTTGGGATGTGGTTTTGTGGGGGTTTTGAGACTACTATGGTTTTTTTTTGTAGCTGTTCTCTTGGTGTTCATGGAAACACCTACTGCCATGTGACACTAGGACTGTGCCTTCTGTCACTGCCTTCTGCTCAGCAGCTCACCCAGCACAGCTGCTTCAGGTCAAAGGGGAAAATCCACAGTTGACTCAGCTGAACTGAAAGGTGAAGAGCACAGATGGACTTGTCCTGCTCCTGAGGACAGTTCAAACAGGTGCCTGTTCGAGCTCGTGACGCCCTGAACTGTAATAATTAACTTTGGTAGTTTCAAAATTGATCACCCTATGCTTAAAGTTTTGCCACCAACTCCAAAGGGCAGCAGAGCCTATTCTGTTTGTTAATAAAACAGCCGGCATCAGGCTCATAGGTGGCGACAGGAATGTTCACAGCTTGGCTTTGACTACTCAAATAGTCATTGTTTTCCTTAAGCTGCTATCATTCTCACTTAGGAAGAGTGTTCTTAAGGTTTTTACAGATGCCCACTTAATTGTAAATTGGACATTTAAACTTCTGGAACTTTTTAAAATGAGAAAGATTGCTGACTCTTAAAAGTTACAGGAAACGATTTTCATCAGAAAACTTCAAACCAAGTAATGTAGACACGGTGGTGTCTTACAGTCCTCTAAACAAGGTGCTTCCGCCCGTGCTGGCACATTGTGCTGCGGGCTCTAACCATCTTGCAAGTCCCCCTCTGTGTAATTAAGTTGACTTGCCACTGAAGCCAATGCTGAGTCTATCAGAATGTTCATCTAAACAAGATTAGGGGATCATGAATAATAATTCAGTAGAGTGACAACTCTGAGATCAGGGTTAACAGGAGCCGTGCATCCAGTTAGAGTTTCAGAAGCTGCTATTCGGGGAGAACAGAACTGCTAGTAAGCTTGTGTCAAGGATGCAAGGTTATAAATTAGCCTGAAAAAAATTTCAGGTAATGGTGTGATTGGTTTGATTTGACTATCAGGTCCCCAACAGAAACTTTTGTCATCTTTTTTCCTAAGCTAAAAGCAATTTTGTTACAAACAAGGTGATTTTCAACAACTAAAAAAACCTTTTCCTAGTTTTATATGTCATACCAAACTTTTTTATATACTTTCAGAGTTAACAAATTATAACTGATGTAATCTCACAGGTATTCAAGTTGAGATGAATTAAACCTGTATGACCCTGTATGATTACAGGTGTAATGACCTGCTTTAAGTAAAACAGGTATAACAATTTGGTTTTATACACTTGATGAGGATGTCTGTTTCTAAACATGACTTCAGGTTACAAGCGCCTTTGGGCACTGTGAGTCGTTTTATCCACTTCACATCATTTGCATAACGTAGGTTGTCCCAAACCCTGTAGGACTACGTAATGACTCACAGAGTTGAGATCTGCTCCCCAGAGAGATGCAAGGAGAACAGAATTACATATCCCACTATCTTTTAAGATTTATTTTCCTTTAAAAATTCAATAGAACATTTCTCCACTTTTCCCAGTCTATCCCTCAAACTAAACAAGAGCTCAGTTCTTAATTGTGCCATTGGAAGGTCTATATGTAAAAGAAATCTGAAATTTAGCTGTAGAATAAACTTGCTGAATAAAAACAAGCAAAACAATATAAATACTTGATAAATACTTGAAGGAAAAAACCTCCAATTGGTTTGCTCTTTGCTTGTTGAAGCAGTGAACCATTTAGAAGAGAAAACAGGATCTGCTCTAATCCCCAGTGCCTTGAAATCTTTTGGAGGAATAGCATAAAGAAAAAAAAAACCCAGCAAGCGAAGTCTGAGGTGCTAATGAAAGAGAAGGAGGTATTGCTAGTTTGTGCAGAAATAGAACAAGGGACTGTCTCACAGGAAATGCTTCATCTACCTACACGGCGTCTGGCTGCTTCCTACCAAAGACACTGAGAGAAGGGGGTCGAGTCAGGGTGACAGCGACCACTGCATGGTTACCAGATGGCTAAATTCAGGATGGAGGATGCTGATCACGATGGCTGCTAATACCAAGCTTGTAACTGTGGAAACCACCTCTTCCAGGCAGAACATGCCTGCAGCACTTAAGGGAAAAATAACCTTTGCATTTGGGAGCTGTCCATTGTTTGTTAAATTTATTGTAACCTAATACCAAAAACTGCCATTTTTCATGATTCCCACGTCGTATATTTTTTCTCAACTTGTAAATAATCCCTCCTAGAAAATAAGCATTAACTGGAATGTTTCACGATTTTGCTTTATTTTATTATCAGCCACTAGTGAACTCCTTTTATAGATATGTACATTTAAAATATCATTAGCTTGTGCTAAATGGTGTAAAAACATTGTTTACTGTTTTAAAGGAAAATTGCACATTATATTTAACTGGGATTACTCCCTCTCTTACCTTTTCTTTAAAAAAATGGAGTCAAGGCTCACACTGACATCTAGGCTGTGGGAGCTTTGCCATAAATAGATACAATGTAGGAATACTTTTTTTTTGAGCATGAAAAAGAAGGCAAAAGGAACTGCATTATGAAGTACCCGATAGGGGACACTGTTCAAAGGATCGCACCCAGCTCGCCTGGTAAAGATGAAGCTCCCATGTTTCTTTCAGCTTTGTCGCTGTTCTGTTCTGCTTCAGTGTGCGCTCTCATTTCATGACGTGCCTTGCTCCCTGATTGTGCAAACCTATCTATATAGAGATATATACGAGAGAGATATATTCAGTACTACTGACGATGTTTTTGTTCTACTGCTGGATTAAGTTATTTTCCAAGTTATTCTTGCCAGTTCCTGTCAGTGAACTATTGTAATGGCTTAGGACAGTAGTCACACAGTCAGTGTAAACTTGTTTTTCAGTTATGAGTTTTCATTATGTCAGCTTACCCAATCCTTAATAAAAAGAATACATAGATTTCATTGAAACATGGGGACTCGACTGTTTGTGGATCGGCACCATTGAGAACCTGGTTTTGCTGTTGATGTTGGGGTCCCAAAAAGACAGGCTGTGCAGTAAGAACAAACTGTGAAGGTAAATAAACTGCAATGTGGTGCATTCAACTGGTTAACCTTTAAGTAATGAACAGACTAGGGAGCTCTGGTCATTAAATACATTAGCAATTAAAAAATGATAATAACTTTTAAGATTTTTTTCTTTAAACAAAGTACAACTAAGTACAAACTAGTACCAAAAGGGATTTGTGTGCTGGACCGCCATGACACGGGATGTGTTCACAAGTCACTTTATCATTTACCAAACTGGAGCACAAAACAGAAGCTCTCCTTTTTATATATCAAAAAAATTTTATGTATTTTGGGGGAAGTGATCAGAAAAACCTCAGGTTCACTTACAGCAAAAATAAGGATAGAAAATAATTATTTAGAGCAGCTATCTAGAGGGGGAAAAAACTTCATTTTACATATCTGAAATGTTTAAGACTTCGGTCATAAAAAGCAGCGCCTGGTGTAGAGCGACAGGGAAGGATTCTCGCCCACACATTCAGCTGACACGCCATCTGAGAAGAGAGGTGATGACCTACGTAAATATATTCACAAGACACCTGGATATACTCTGTAGGATTTTATTTAGGTCAAGTTCTTAGTACACAGCAACAATTAATTCCAAATACGATTTCAAAATTAAAAAGTGAATGTTCCCCGCCCATCTGGAGGTGGTTGAATGGCACACGCAAGAAACATGACTGGCAACAGACTGCTCCCTCGCATCTTCCTGCATGGTGTTCCCTCAACTCCTAACACAGCCTCCCTCCGGGAGCTCAAAGTACAACTGGCCAGATCACAAATTGTTTACATTCCTTTTTGTAAACCATTTTGTTAAGAAAAAAGATGCATGGACACAAAATATGATAAAATCTGCTTTTCCATAGATTCTGAAGTTGCAAAAGACATTTCCATTTTAATGTGAAAATAAGCTTTTTGTTTGTTTCTTTGTTTTCTTTTTTTACAAAAACCCTCAAGATATTTAGCAAGGATCATCTATACACAGCTAGGCCCTGTCATTTCATTAATCAATTTTTAAAAGAATTATGAGATTCTCAATAAGAAATAGGAACAAAGACCAGCATAAAGTAAAGGTAAGGTCATGCACACAACGCCTCCGCTGAGTCTAAGGCTCTCAAATAAGGCTGCTGGCAGCACTGTGCTCCCGTCAGTGCTCAAATAACACCACCCTTTTGCTCCCTACACCTTACGGAAAAGGCCGTTTGTACTGAGAGTAGTTTTTGAAGGGCTAAAATGAAGATTATGTTCACTAATTAAGGTACACTCCTTAAACAACAGTTTGAATACTCAGATGGTATTATCGAGACATAGCATATCTTTTCAAGTATCTTCCTCAAGACATCAAGTAGAACTCTAAACTCTTAAAGAAACATACGGCACATTCAATAAAGACAGCTGAAGAAAGAGTACCGGGCGTGAAGTCAGGAACTCGACTGTTATTAACCAGCTGTTACCTGAAACATCTAACCTCAGCAGTAAAATGAGACTGAACTAAAATTTCTAAAATCTCATCTAGCTCTAAAATTCTGTGTGAAAATCACGTGAGGGAAATCACCTTAACACCAATCAGAAGTTCCTCACCAAGAGGGTCAGAAGTGAACAGCTGGGACGTGATTCGATCCCCATTCTTTTCAAAGAGTTTTCAGTCACCTGCCAATTCCTCCACCCAAAGCCTTTTCAAAGGGAAACGTGGCCTTCAGGACATGCCAGGCTCTCTCCACAGAGGAGAAAAGGTAATAAAAAATAAAAGCACAGTTCTTACTGCAGAAAGGTCACCAGCTACCAGAACACAAAAGGATGAAAGCAAACTACCATCATTTTGATGCCTCGCAAACAGAAAAATCTTACGTAATCATCTTTAATCAATGTGAGACTGCTAAGGAGCATGGCTACATTACAGACCACTGTAAAGATGCATAAAACATTCTCTCTAGCCGGGTCATAAACAGCAGCAGGAGGGTGAAAGAAAACGTCTCCCCCAGTGACAGGGACACAGCCAAAGTAGCAGGTCCTTGCCAACCCTAAGATGGGAACAGCAGGTGTGCCTGAGGGACAAAAAGAGCAAGTAGCCAAAAGATAGAAAACACTGAACGAGACATCTGAAAAGATTCATATTTATTCCAAACACAGCAGGCTGAACCACTCAGGTCTAGATTTTGACAAGCTGACACTATTTTGGTTTTCGATTTACTGCTGTGGCCATAAGGTCCACGACAACCAGAAAGCATGTTTTCATTCACGGCCTTTCAAACAGTAAATACCAAAAAAAAAGGAACAACTCTTAAGTCACTCCTTTTTCCTTAGAAAAAGGGGGAGGACACACAAGTCAAAAAGAAACACTTGAGGGAAAAAAAACCCCGTCTTCCATTAGATTCCTTCTATCCTGATAAAATGGTTGCTTACTGTTCAGCAGATTTTAGACTTGGATCACCTTTGCCACAATATTATGCAGCATGTAAGACTTCCACTTTCATTTGGAATTCCTACTCCCAACCATCTTGTAGTTTATAAAAGACAAATGGGGAAAACTTACAATAAAACAAGAAATACTACCCTCACAGACTATTACTGGCATGCAATCTATGAAATATTACATACATTAAGTCTCCAATTAGTGTAGGCCTGGCCCATCATTACACAGTATCCTTCCAAGACAATATATAGAACCCAAAACTGTACAAAAATTTAAAATATGCAGAAAATCCAAGAGGTGATGTTTTTAAAACAAAAACACACACATCAGTATTAAAGAATACAGGAGAGCTCAGCTGACCCACGGACCCCGTGCCGCAGGTCTTCGGGGGGAAGGGCCTCACCAGGGTCTTCTGCACAGCCCAGTCCAGCAGGGGGCCAGCAGTCCAGGGGAACGCCACCTACTCGCGCAAAGTTGTCTTCTCTGGTTCTGTAGGTGTGAGCTGTGGGAACTACTTGCTGGATTTCAAAATACCCTCTGCCTTATTAATCCACTAAGCTTTCTCAGCAAGCTTTTTAAATAAATAATTGGAACATCTAATTTCGAAACAGTCTTCCTAGCTATACACCAATACTAGGAAGAGCGAATCTATCCAGGTATAGTCTAGGCTGGGTCCATAATGAAGCCAAGGCTCAGAGGACACTCGGCCATTACTCTGAAGGAGAACAGAGAACACAGGATGTCGAGATGACCTCACAAAAGCATGACCTAGAATGTGTACTGGAGGCAAGTTAATGAAATCTAAATTCAAAGTGTTGGAGAAATCTAAAAGCAAAATAGCTAACCTGCAGTGTGTGGGGGAAAACACCCTGCCACTTAAAAAAAGAAAAATTCTTGGTAAGGGACATCTGTACCCGGTCTCAGTTAACAGTGATGCAGTTCTGTGCTCAGATAACAGGTCCACAAGTGGAATCTGAACTTGCCACTCCACCACCTGAGTCCCTCCCACGTGCCGCACTGGTCACCTCTCAGTCGCGCTCCTCTGTGTGCACCATCACGCTGAAGCCCACATATGAAACACGTCAGCTGCTGCTCCCCTCTTTCACCAGCTCGGGGAGGACACCTGGCCACACTCTCTTCCGGCCGCGTCCCTGGGCCTGACCGGCCGGTTCATGACCACAGTGTTCACCCGCCGAGCAGCAAGCCCTCCCAGGTTCTTTCAGTATTTCTTATACTGATTACAGAAGTGACAATTAAAGCCACCTGCCTTATACACGCCACAGAATTTGAAGCTATAATTGTGCAGGTGAAAAAAAATACTTTGTTATTGTTTCCCTCAGTTACATTAATTTTTGTGTGTGTGACTGGATAAGTATTTGGCCTGATACCACTTACGCCACAGCTCGTCGTCTGAGATCTAAGGCTCAAATTCTTACCAAAAGCAGCTACTTCAAAGGCCAATCAGACGAAATCAGGAGAGTACTGCCTGTTTCTAAAGTCAAGGGAGTAAACAACTCAGCAGCAGCTAACACTGGCCATCAGCAGCATTCAGAGAGCACAGCAGCAAGCCTTTTATTTCAGTGACTGTCAAGAGACTTCTTGAAAATAACTGCTATTTTCCAAAAAACAATAATGTTTTTCTAAACAGTGAAAGAAGTAAAGAAATAATGGGTCTGACCTCCAAGATCCTACTCCTCAAAACAGCACCTAAGGCAAGGGGCTAGGACGCTGTGGAGCAGAACGCTCTGCTGACAGGCCACGTCCTCAGACTCTCGGGCCCCTTCCGCACCTGAACCAGGCCACCACACCGCACGGGTCTGCGCACGCCGGGCGCCAGCGGCAGTGCAGCCTCGTGCAGCAGCAGCAGCAGGCTGACATCAAGCCGCAACTGTTAACCACCCTCAGCATGTCTGGAGACTCATTTCATCCTCCTCATGATCCACACACTGAGAAACAGGAAGGGATGCAAGTCAGGCCAGCATTGACTCCTTCGGTGCACTCAAGTGCTGAGAGAATGCAGGATTTACAGTGTTAAAGAACAAATAAGCCATCGGAAACAATTATAAAAATGGTTACGTATGGTCTTAAATACTGGTTCTGTCCTCACAGGGAAGCAGCGTGGGGCCACGAGGCTAACCCTCAGCGCGGGCACTGAAGGACATCCCACACCACAGACCGCAGGAGGAATCCCAAGGGTACACAGTATTCCTGAGAGAGATCCCCGTTTTTTCTGAATCAGTCTTAATCTGATTTGTTTTACATCATTACGCTGTTATACCTCTGACATATTTAGAAATGGTCACCTTATTTCAATCCAAACAGCTCAGCACAGTACAAGTGATGGCAGGAAGATCCATTTGTTCGGACTCGGCTTGCTTTTTTGTTTGTTTTAATACTGGGGGATAAACCAAAGAAACGTAAGCAGTTTTGTCATTTGTATCCTTCATTCATTTCACTGGAGGGGAATCCCCAGGGCCTTGTGATAATGTGGGAAGACCTGACTGTTCTGTGAGGGCGACAGGGCCCTGCCGAGCTTTACTCAGAATAATGCATGATAGACTCAACATAATTCCCAGGAAAGAGCCCGGTCACTCCATTCATAACTCCCTCATACCAACCATCGTCATTCTTCTTGATGACATAAATAATGGCTCCTTCCTGAAAGGACAGCTCATCTTCCTTGTCTTTTGTATAATCATAAATTGCCACAACTAGAGGGAAAAAAAATAGGATGTGAAAGAACAGAATAACATTCCTAGAGAGAAAGAACCAAATAAATGAATATGTATCCCTTCCCAACTCCCACAGCACTTCAAACATAGTGATTTTTTAAACACAGACCAAAAAAATTTTTTTCTAATACCCAGTCTTATACAATGGAATCCCATCTTGGGGAGGTTAGGTTCAAAACAATGTAAATGGCAAAAAATCACATTTAGTCAAACTTACCCTTCAACAGCCTATGGGAAAATACCTCACTGAATGAGACACAATCCCAGAACTGGGAAAGACGCTGTTTCTTCAGTTGAGCTTGTGTTGAAGCACCATATCGTGTAAAAACACACAACTTTAAATGTTAAAATTGTACTACTGCAGTGAGAGGCACTATGAGAGGAGGCAGGTGAGACAGAGGGAAGAGCAGGCTTATGCCTCCCTTCCGGCACTTTCCAGAGCCCCCGCCCGTGCACCGAGTGAGAACAGTGTCCGAACTCTCACGAGTTGTGTGGGAACAATGGGAATCTACTATACACGTTCTTTCAAAACACAGGCTGCGTTATCCACCAATTTAACACACCCACAATGACAGACTCAAGTGTTAGAAAACCTGTTAGGATATCTGTAAGCTCTCCTGAGTTTCATTGCTTAAATAACTTGGTAACTGGGGCCTATCAAGGATATCTGGGACAGTCTGGTTCCTAAGTATTACATCTACCTCAATAGTTTAGTTAAATTGGGATACCCTCTAACTTGCTCAAATCCACTTGAAGATTTATCTTTTTTATAAAAGATCCTTTGTACCTTTATTTTACCACTCAGAATTTCACTCAATAAATCTCCATCTACCCTGAGATGGAGTATATATAAGAAGCATATACTGACTGTTAGTTTCTCATGCAACCTTAATCCTCACACAAATAAATAAGAAACAGAAACTAAAACACAGATTTTTGATATAGTGCAACTTGCCCCAGTTAATTTGTGTTTCTGACCTGCTTTAGTAAAAATTAAATGGCTTTCTTAAAATCTGAATATTTGCCATTATAGTGGTCTATTAAGGATGCCAGAAAATACTTTAGAGAGGCCTAGGAAGAGTTTAGTGTGTATCTCTCAAAATATAACCAAACACCTAAACAAATATAATTAAATGACATACGAGTTTAACTATGAGTGTAAGAGAATACAAGATACGTAGAGTATTTCGTATTTCTAGTCAACCTAGTAATTTTTACTTTCTTTTACAGTTGATAATATTCTTGATGCTTACAGAAATGCAAACCCACTGAAAAGTAATTCAGAGGAAAATATCCCCAAGTCTTGTTAATTCTACCCCCTAAACCACTCAAATCCAAACATCATCACAGTCACTGCCTGGTTGGTGCAGCAGTCTGTACACAGGAACACACGTATCTCTGGGGGTACCGGAAGATATTCTCAGCAGTGTGAGTGGCAGATGATTTTGCAGAGACTCTTTCTAGATTCTCCACTTTTATAAATACTGCTTCCTAAAACTGACCTGCTTGAGATGATACCGTCAGTCAGGCATCAGTCATGAATTTCTCATTTCCTGTCCATCCTTCTACTTGACAGAAGTGCACTGCTGCACCATCTTAAAGTGCAGAACAGCTCTGGGTGCCAAAGGGACCATTCAAAACACTGACGTGGTGAGAATTACTCCACCAACGAACCCATGACCTTTTTGCAAGTTCCATTGCTTTTAACAAAATTTAAGAAAGACTTTAATAGAGTTATCAGCTGACACATCACAAAACATGATTTTTAAAGACAGAACATTATTTCATATCTGGCAAATAACTCTGAGGGAGTTAAAAGAATTGAGTGGCAGTGCAATATGACAAACACTTCCATGTACATCTACGTATTTATGTGAAGAAGGTGTCCAGCACCACTGCCTCAGTAGAAGCCCTTGTCTCTTGCTTAGAAAGGTATCCAACCTGATCTTCCCAACTCCTATTTTTTCTTCCTTTCTAATGCACTCTACACTATCAGGTATCTTTAAAAAAAAAAAAAAAAGTTAAAATATAAGTACATGAGAACTTACTAACCTGCCTAAAAATCTTCCACAATTTCCCTCTACCATCAGATTAAAAAAAAGGGCCAGCCTGGTGGCATAGCGGTTAAGTGCGCATGCTCCGCTTCGGTGGCCTGAGGTTTGCAGGTTCGCATCTCGGGCGTGCACCGACGCACCCCTTGCCAGGCCATGCTGTGGCGGCGTCCCATATAAAGTAAAGGAAGATGGGCACGGATGTTAGCCCAGGGCCAGTCTTCCTCAGCAAAAAGAGGAGGATTGGCAGCTGTTAGCTCAGGGCTGATCTTCCTCACACACAAAAAAATCCCAACACCTCACACCCACAGCCTGGTATTAAAAGTTTCCCACCACTAATCACAACTCGCTGCCCCTCCTGTACTCATATCCCCAACTCTCTCCCTAAACCCACCCATGCCTCAAGAGCCAGGCCCTTTCATCCAGAGGGTTCCCTCCACCTGGATGGCCCTTCCTACCCCTCCTCTCTGCCTGAGAAACACCTACTTATCATTCAAGGCACACCACAAATTCCATGTCCTCTGAGAAGCTTTCTGATATCCCCAGATAGAATTAATGGCACTATTCATTTTCTGACAATCATTAATGGAGCATCCATGCTGATTTTTAGAGATACAAAGATGAACAAGATAAGGGACTGTCACAGTCTTGTGAGGACAGAAATGTCATCTGATAAATTACCACACATTGTTTATACTTCTACCAAGAAGTTATGTCACTGACCCAGAAGAACACGAGAACAGATGGCGTGATAGAAGACAGGGATATAAAATGGGCACTGACAAAGAAGTCAAAGTTTGCCAAGAGTTTAACCCTAGTAAACGGTACAGCCAAGTCCCAGGGCCGCCTGGGCTCAGGGTCAGGACAATGGTGAAGAACATGGGCTCTGGAGTTACACCACCTAGTTCAAATCCCAGCCCTACCACTTATCAGTTTATAGAACATACGGAACTCCCCTAACCTGCTTTTTACTCAACTGTATAATAGGAATCATAATAGTGCTAACACCTCAAAGCACTGCTATATTAAATGGGGCAATGCACATATGATATACCTTTTACATGGTAAACGTTCTATATAAATGTTAGCTGCTTTTATTATCATTAACAACCATTATGATATTTTCTATTATATTCTGTAGTATTATAAATTATTTCTGAACCTCAATTTCCTAGTTTGCAAAAATGGGGAAACTAACTGCCTTACACATGTAATATAAGTCTTGCACTATGCCAGGCACATAATAAATACATGAAAATATCTGTTGTCTACCCAAGTTAAATCAAGATACTTACATATAACATTATCTCCACTTGGCAAATATGGGTAGTTATCAAGGGGTAAGATAAACCTTCTCCTATGGCAGTGGTTCTCAACCTTGGGATTATCTGAGGAACTTTAAAAAATGCTAATGCCTGGGTCTCACGTCCACAGATTCTGATTTAATACGTCTGGAGGTACAGACATACTAAACGTTCCCTAGGTGACTCTAATATGCAGGCAGGGTTGAGAACCAGGTCCTAAGGTCTAAGACAGCAAAATGAGTCATTAGGCAACAGCCCGAACAGTCACGCACAGTCAAACAAAAAAGCAACCATAAGCTGAACAGAGTTGGTTATTTTCGGTTTTGTTTTGCCAGAAAGAGTAAGGAAGAGCTTATTTGATTTTCATGTTTTCAAAGACATTAACAGAGATATACCAAACTTTGAAAAACATCTTAGGGAACAATTCAGGCATATTCTTTTAAATTTTCAAGAATTACTTGGACTGAAAACAAACTTATTTCCTCTCTTACAAATCTCTCCAGAATTTTACATGTTCATAGAAGAGATTTTTAGAAAGCAAAACTTTTCATTGTGCTTTTCTCTTAAGGAATAACTGAGCTGGCCTTCCAGAGCTGAAAACTGTCATCACTTTGCCTAGGAGAGTGTTAAAATCAGCTGAGGAGTTTGTAAAGCATGTCAATGCCTACAGCCACAGCCTAGTGTAGTAGTACCTTGGGCTCATTTTTTTTTTTTCTTAAAAACAGCTTTATTAAGGTGTAATTTAGACATAAAATACAATCACTTAAGTGTAGAGTTCAATGAGTTCTGACAAATGTATGCACCTGTATACATGACAAATGTATAACCACACCACAGTCATACAGAACATGCCCATCATCCCAAGTCTCCTTATGCCCCTATGTAAATTCCCTCACCTGCCAGTCTGGTCCCTGGAAACCACTGATCTAGATTTCATTTAGATGGAATCATAAAGTCGGAGTCTTTTGTGTCTGGATTCTTTTACTAGTATAACACGAAATCCACATTGTTGCTTTTATCAGTAGTTTGTTCCTTTTCATTGCTGAACAGTATTCCATTGAATGTGGATGGATATCCCACAATTAGTTTATCCACACACCAGGTGAAAGACATCTGGGTTGTTCCAGGTTTGGGCTATTATGAATAAAACAGCTATGAACATTCGAATTCAAGTCTTTGTGTGAACAGACATCTTCATTCCTCTGCCAGATCAGCTGGTACATGTATATGTCTAATGTCATAAGAAACTGCCAACTGTCTGCCAACGCGGCTGAAACATATCACATTCTTCCCAGCAACGTGTAAGAGCTCCGGTTCACCACACCATCCAACACTTGGTACTGACAGTGTCTTCAACTGTAGCCACTCCAGAGGGTGTCTAGCGGTATTCAGCTGGGTTCACTGTGGCCTTAATTTGCATTTCCCCAATGACTAATAACACTGAGCATCTTTTTATGTGCTTCTTTGCAATTCATGTATCTATTTGGTGAAGTATATTCACACTTTTTTTCTACAAGTCGTTTGTCTCCTTACTGAGTTATTTTGCAAATATTCTTCCCATATGGCTTGCCTTGTCACTTTCTTAACAGCATCTTTGAAGAAGAAAAGTTTAATGAAATTCAATTTGTCAATTTTTTCTTTTAAGCTTCATGTTTTTCATGTGCTCTCTACAAAATTTTCTTCCTAACTCCAGAACACAAAAATTTTCTCCTATATCTTCCTCCAGAAGTTTTACAGTTAGATCTAAAATATATTTTGAGTTAATTTTTGTGTCTGGTGAAGGGTAGAAGTTCATGTTTTGCATATGGATATCCAATTGTTTCAGCACTATTTGTAGAAAACACTACCCTTTCCCCATTGAATCACCTTGGCACCTCTGTCAAACAATGTGTGTGGATCTTCTGGATTCTATATTCTATTCCATTGATTTATATTTCTACACTTACACCAGCATCACATTGTCCTGAATACTGTAGCTTTCCACCAGAACTCTAAAATCAGGCAGTTCAAATCCTCAACATTAGTCTCCTTTTGTTTTGAAATTGTTTTGACTATACTAGGTCTTTTGCATTTCCATGTTAACTTTTAGAATACCCTTGTCAATTTCTATAAGAATGACTGCTGGAATTTTTATTGGGACTGCATTCAATTTATAGATTAATTTGGGGCAAACTTGTCTCTTAAAAATAATGATCAAAGAACATAATATATCTCTCAATTTATTTAAGACCTTTATCAATTTTTCTTCGTTTCAGTTTTCATCATACTAGTTGCATATATTTTACTAAATTTATCCCTAAGTATTTCATATTTTTGATGTTATTACAAAACGTATTGTTTTGTAAATTTCAATCTTCAACTGTTTGTTGCTAGTATATAAAAATACAATTAATTTTGCACATCAACTTTGTAGCCTGTAATCTTGCTAAGCTCACTCTTTAGTTCTGCCAGCTTTTTTGTATATTCCTTAGGATTCTCTACATACCAGATCATATCTTCTGCAAACGAAGAGTATTTGATTTTGTCCCACACACCTGTTGCTCTGTTTTTGGTTTTTGTTTTTCCTCCGTGCCTCATTTTGAACAGTTTCTACTGTCGTATCATTAAGACTGCTGGTTTTTTCTTCTGAAGTGTCACTTCAGATATTGTATTTTTCATCTCCAGAAATTCTATGTGGGTTTCTCTTCCTCTTTTTTCAAAAAATATCTTCTACTTCTCTCTCACGTTTATGTTCTCCTCTACCTTCTTGGACATCTGTGGCATTTAGAATAGCTATATAACATCCTTGTCTGGTAATTCCATCATCTTGGTCATTTCCGGGCCTGTTTCTGTTGACTGCTTGTTTTTTAAGTTATGAGTTACATTTTCCTCCCTTTTTACATGCCTTGTAATTTTTGACTGGCTGCTGGTCGCTAGACACTGAATCCTACTTTTTGGTGCACTGGATTCTGCTGAATTCTTTGAACAGTGCTGGATTTTGTCCCAGAGCTCAGTGAGTTCACTTGCAATCAGCTGGATGCTTTCAAGGTTTGCATCTGAGCATCTGTTAGGGCAGTCCAGAGCAAACTGTAGTCTCTAAGGGCTAATTTGGCCCCACTACCAAGAGGACACACTTTTGAGGCCTCCTCTCAATGCCTTGAGTTTTATAAGGCCTTTCTACTCTGGCTGGTGTTGGAACATGAACTATTCCCAGGTCTGCTATTTCCAAGAATTTTTCTGCCTGCTCCTTTCTGGCTGTCCTTTCTCGATCTCAGGGAGTTCTTCACACACATGGACAGGTCAGCACTCAGTCGAAGACTCGAGGGGACCCTTCCACAGATCTCCAGAGCTCTGGTCTCTGTCTGTAGCTACCTCTTCTCCATGGGCCCCCAAAACTCTGCTCTCGATCTTCTCTACGCAGGGAGACCTCCAGCTTCTGTCTGGGTCCCCCCTCCTTGCACTGTGACCTGGAAACTGCCTCCAGGTAGCAAGCTAGGACAGTCCAGGCTCAGTGTCTGAGTTCCTCTCTCTAGGGTCAGAGTCCATCACTGTCTGTTGTTCAATGTCTGAAAACCACTATTTTTTATATTTTTTTCTGGATTCATAACCCGATTACTGTTGCTCTACCTTGGCCAGAAGTGGAAGTCCAGTGTTTGATTAAAAAAAGCTCCTCAGGTGACTCTAATGTGTGGTCAGGTTTGAAACCCAGTAAGTTAATAGCTTTGATTTTCTTAACAGAAAATGTCCTTCAAGACAGCACACATTTGTTCTGAGCTGATTAGGCTTGATGAGATTTGGAAGCCTATGTCTCAAAAGTGCCTTGTCACAGTTGCTAATATATTACGAGAAACTTTTCACTAATAGAAATGCCCAATACTACTTTGCAAAGAAACTGAGAAACCATTATTCTTTGGAGGAAAGTTATATGGAGATACTTAAACCAAAATATCTGATATAAGATGCCACAAAAAGAGTGCTTTAAAGTGTGGGGGTAGGAATAACTAATACTTTAGAAAAATTCTCTTTCTGAGGCATTCCAGAAAAACTCTGTCTTTTTTTATTTTTGCCTTACAGAAACCATTCATAAAAACATGCAGGTTGTAAAGGCAAAACTCTGTCCGTAAAAAATAAACAAGATTCTCTTTGGTACCAGTAAATTTCATTTCTGAGGAGAGGTTTCTTCTCATCCCTCCAGATACCCCTCTGAAACTTACCCTTTTCCAAGTAAGATCTTGGAGCCCAGGGCGGGTCCTCCTCAGCATAAGGATCACTGTACTCAACCACAGCTGCTTCCTCCTCTTCGTAATCTTCTGGGGGAGGAGGGGGGGGCGGGGATTCATCAAAGACTGGTTCTTCCACAGGTGGTGGTGGTGGTGGTGTATCTGAAACTAAGAATGTATCAAGCTGACAACAAAACTACACATTATGCAAACTTCCGTATTTCCTATCTGAGCTTCTATGTTCATGGAATATAAACCTAGACTTGAAAATAATAATCTTTCAAAGAATGAGTGGGCAAGAGCAGCCTCCTCATCAACCACGATGTTCCCAGTCTCCAAGCTCGACTCTCTCCTCCCCTCGCCTCAGCGCTGTCCGAAGCTGCGCAAAGTTGAGCCACAACAGTGACTATGTACTGAGCCTCTGGGAGCTGTCTATGTGAACACATATCCTTCTTTTCAAAGAGATCAGCACAATATACTTTGGCTTTACATTATATCCAAGGAGGAGTCGTTATCAGAAATATTAATAATTTCAACATTTATAACCATATTTAATTTAAAATAAATTAGAATGAGTCTAGTGAATAGATAAATTTTAATAATCAGCTATATTCCTCTCAATGGTTTTTTTAAAATACCATTTTACCAAATTAGTGGAGTGGAAATCACAAACAACTTTGGGTAAGATGTTTGTGCACGTGTATTTTTTTTAATACACACAGAATTTCTACTCATTTATGATCCAGAATTTCTTCAGGCTAAATATCTAAGAGTGATTTAAAATATTTAAAATGTCTCCTTATAGAGATCTGCTTCCACAGCTCAGTTATCAGCATATAGTAATATCTAAAAGTTTATCTCCAAACTCAGGGAACTCAAGGCGTTCAAAATGCTTGGTACACACCTGAGCACAGCTCAACAAAGCCCAATTTCAATGAACAGAGTTAATTCTTATTTATGAGGCAGCAGTATTGTTTCTGTGAAATTCTCTGAGCAATCCTGTTTATCTTCTATTTATTATCTAAGCCTACTGATGGAATCAAATGGATTTTATAAGATTCTGGTGCCTGGTGAGGATCCGCCATATCTACATCATACTCTGTCCTATTCTAGTATTATTCCCATTTGCTGTTCCACTCTGTACTTACCAACTTATCTACTTCATTAACTTCAAAATTTTATTCATTAAAAATAATTCTTTTAGTCCTAATAGGTTGTTTTTAAATAAACAAAAGATATAGATATGTGATTCTAGCATATGTTTTATGACAAATTACATATGGTTGGGGTAAGAATCCACAATACATCCTATTCACATTCATAAGGTAAAGAGATTGACTTGAAACAATTGCACAAAAACACAGATCCAAAGGAACTTTGTCTTTCAAAACAATCAACTTGAGAAATTACACTTTAAAATTACTCAAAGATGCTGCTATTGTTCATTTTTACCTTTTCTTATAACTCCCTCAATCAATTTAATAAGACTAACAGAAGCTACCTTTTTTTAATAACTTTTTTTTTTACTGAGGTCATATTGGCTTTTAACATTGTGTAAACTTCAGGTGTACATTATTATATTTCAGCTTCTGTATAGACTGCATCGTGTTCACCACCGACAGTCTAGTTTTCGTGTGTCACCATATACATGTGCCCCTTTATCCCTTTTGCCCTCCCTCGACCCCCTATTCCTCTGGTAACCACTAATCTGTTCTCCTTATCTATGTGTTTATCTTCCACATATGAGTGAAATTATACGCTATTTGTCTTTCCCTGTTATTTTGATAAGCTATCATTTTTTACTTAAAATGTTCCAATTACACAGCTAGCACTTTACAATACATTATTTCATTTAATCTTTACCTTGGGAGGTAGTGTTTTTAATCCTCATTTTATGGATGTGGAAAGCAACTTTCCAAGATTAAGGAGTCCTATGGTAAGTAAATGGAAGGGCAGGAATTTGAACTCCAATGCCTGTTATCTTAAAAGCTACACTACTATGGGATGAGATCAATGCAATAACTTTGAAGTCATGTTTCATTACTATTCATTCAACAAACATCAACTGAAAGCCTACTATGGCTAGCTACTAGGCCCAGCACTGGAAATACAGCAGTGGGCAAAAGTCACGGAGACACAGGCAAGCAAACTTGCATTTATAATTAAGTGTAGTAAGTGCTTTGTCATTACAGAAACATAGCAGTAGACCAAACCTCCCAAGTGGGTCAGGAAAGGCCTCCTGAAATCTGAAGAATGAGTGAGAGCTAATAGCCGGGGTGGGATGGGGTAGGGGTGGATATTTCATGACAGATGTAAAGAAAAATAAATAAATACAAAGGTAGGAAAGCAGGAATCCTTCAAAGAACTGACCAGAGTTCAGCAGAAAGAGGTATGAGGAGCTGAAGAGGACCAAGCAGGAAGGCCCTGCAACATGTGAACTCTAGCCAAAGAGGCATTCTAAGAAGAATAACAGGATCACGGCCTACTAGTTAGCCCAGTACAACTGGTTCCACATAATTCCAGACTTCTTCCAAACATCAAACTTAATACAGAGTGAATATCTGCCACCACAGCTCATCTTCAAAATAATGTACTTGAAAGCTATGAAGATCTCCTAAGATGAGTATATATCTTTCCAAGGTGAATGTTTTAAAGAGGACAACATTCATTTGAATGTGTAAGTCCTGCTATATCGTCATGTAAAATCAGCCACAGCTCACCTCATCTACAAAGTTTCTTATTTTTATGCATTTTGTAGGTGAGAAGTATATATGACTATGGAAAGAAATGAGAAAAGACATCCCAAAAGGCAATCACACTGTGATAAACAATGGAGGTGCTCATGGGGTACCTTTCAATAAACAGAAGTAAAATCTACTGACTTCAGAAATTAGCAAATCGAGATGCAAAGGCACCTGGAAGAGACACTGAGCCCTCAGGCCAGGAAGCCTGGAGTATAACCAGTTAAAATACAAGAAAGAAATGTGTCAATAAAGAGGGGGCATTTAGTCAGCGATGGAAGCAAAAAGGAGGAGGGACTGAAGTGTCTGCTATGTGTCAGAGGCTTTTCTAAGTGCTGAGGAAAACAGCCCGAGAGCAAAATAAGCAAAAATCCCTGCTCTCACAGAGCTCACATTCTGGTACCAGCAATGCCATGACCAAAGAGGCAGGAGTCCTAAGAAGCGAGTGCAAATACCTCTATCCCATTGGTGAGGCCATCCCTGTTACAAGGTGCATACACTGGGTACTTCAGCCTGATGACACTAAATCTTTCATTAATGTAATTCCTGAGTTCAGATTCCATGCCCATGATGCAACCTTATAATTGTGATGTGCCTCCTCACATAGACTGCTCACAAGAAGAGAATTCATCTGTCATAAAGACTACACTCACTGGTCTCTGTAACAGCAATTCCTCACTGAATGTTGATACAGGCCTCCTGTTTTGAGGACATCAGTCTCTTGAGCTTTCTTAACGCTTCCCTAGGAAAAGACTCTACGCACCAAAAAAACTTAGTCATCTGATCCTACAGAGCTTAACACCAGACCATAAGCCAACATAAATTCATTGCCAATCTATGAGGTCTCCTGGGAGACAGACTGGCAATTTGGTCCCCTGGGACCTACCATGGTATGGCCATTTTTACACCTGGAATGACAAGACTGGAGAAAGATTCTCAAGTTAGCCACAAAACCCTAAAACTCCAGTAATAAGAAACTAAACTACTACTTGTCTGAGCAACTCAGAGAAAAACATGGGATATTTGGTGATTAAAGAGCATCTCCTCAGTTAGACGTGATCTTTCTTTTCTTACGTGTGCCTCATTTTATATTTATTTGTCTTATCTTCACTACCAGATTTTAAGTTGTCTGAAAGTAGAGAACTTCATCTTGATTATTTTATCATCCACACTAACTGCTCATACAGTGACTTGTGCATAAAATTCAAATTTTTGAAGTATCAGCGAATGAATTACTCTTCAGCCAATCATATATAATGACATTTTATGCCTATAATCTGATCTACAGCATAAAGAAGACATAAACTTACTATTTTCTTGGACTCTGGCCACAAATCCCATTAAAGGTAACTGAGGAGTTACTTGTAGGATGGAGGGAGGAGGAGGAGCAAGAGATACTGCAAAAACAAAAAAGGTGTGCAGGATAAGGGGTAAGGGCGAGTTACATTAAAAGGAAAGGATAATACAATAAAACGAACATATAAGGAGGGAAATCACTGTGCATAAACATTTTATAAGCTATCTTAAGGATCCTCTTTTGAAGGATAATTCATTAACACACAAAACAAAGTATTAGGGGAGTTTTTAGAAAGTTTTAAAAAATTACAACAGGAAGCATTTATCACATACACAAATCTATTCTAACACATAATGGCAAATTTATCTTTTCATTTCAATAACAGTATGTCTTCTCAAAGAAACAATTTCTTCAGATTACCATGAATAATTTGGTCTTCTGGATTTTACCTTGAAGGTTACAAGTTTAAGTATTCGTCAATACAAGAGGAAAAAAACCATTACATCCCAACATCTTAAATTTATACTTTTCATTACTTCATTAACAGGCAAATTAATTGGTTCTTCATTCATTAATTAAACAAAAATATTTACTGACTTCCTACTAAGTGGCAAGCACTCTGCTAGGAGACTAATATCAAAACCATTCTCTGAGAGTCAGGTCTGTGTCATTACAATTTTTCATAGCCCCATTCACACTACCTGCTCCAGCCAGGTACATTTTCTCCCTGACCCTAAAGAAAAATGCCAGCCTCATTCAAATCCTTATCCTCTCCTCCCCAAGGTGTCTTTCCCTCTACCTCAGACATCTGGTACAGAGCCTAGCACTAGTAAGCCTTCAACAAATGTTTAATGTATGTAAATACATAAATAAACCAGGTTCGTGCCAAATAATTGCCCAAGATTAACTCTACAGTTATAGTGTCCTTCAGAATGGGTGCAAAGTTTGGTATGCTGCTTCTTATAAAGAGAGAACACCTTTACTAGCTCCAACTCACAGTTATGACTAATAAAACTAAGAAGATGAGTAAGAGTCATTGCCCTCAAAGAGATCACATTCTCGTTGGGAACAGAAAACAAAATAACAACCTTAACCCAACAATACTTGTAGCAATTCCCTAGAGGAGGTGGTGGTGGTATGGTGTGATGAGGGTGGGGATGGTTCTGAAGAAGGCTACATAGAAATGACCACCGAGCAGCAACCTGAAGAAAAGGAGCTCAACAAGCAGACAAGCGTTGAGAATGACAAGCTGAGAACCAAGTGAGGGGCAGACGCTTAGAAGCGTAAAATAGTATGACCAGTTCACAGGATCGGAAATGTTTCCATATGGCTAGCATAAGATACCCCAGAGAGAAGGTACAAAACCTGGAAAGGTGAGCGGTGGCTACAAACCAGGGAAGGAAATGTTAGGTGAAAGAGTGTTTAGTGGAAAGAGAATGGACTTGAAAGTCACCCAATGTTATACCTGATTCACCATTCCCTTGCTGTTGGAACAGCAAATTAAATAACTTCTTTGAGCCTAATCCATAAATGTGATAGGAAAAAGAGATAATGTAAAGCAACCTACTTTGAATGGTTGCGAAGATGATAAAAAAGAAAAGGTATGCCGAAAGCCTAACCCAGGGCCTAGCACAAAAACAATCAAGGCAGTTGAAACAGAAGAGGAGAGAACTTAGTAATAGTGTGGAAAGAGGGCTTGGTAACTAAGGGTTCAGCTGGCATAGGAAGGAGAGCAATAGCTGAAGAAGATTCTTAGATTTTTCCCTTCATAGCTGTGAAGGTGGAGGTGCCATTAACCACATTAATCCTGGCAGGTAGTATAGGGAAAGGAACGGGCTGGTGAGTAGGTGGGTCAGAGAGGGAGAATGATCTGACAAATGAAATACATGAAAGTGACAAGCATAAATATGGGAGGCAACTGGAAAGTCTGGATTGAGTTTGTGAGAAAAATCGAGAGGTACAGGACCAGCAGCAATCAGCAGAGAGAGAACAGTTGTGCTGTGGGTCAGTGCAGGGGGAAGACATATAATGTGTAGACAAGAGTTAAGCAGATCATCCTAAAGAACACCTAGATTTAAGGGGCAGAGTAGTATAGAAATTGGCACCTTTTTTAGAAAGATACCTTTTGGTTAGGGTTTTCCCTAAAGTCATACTTCTTGGTAGTAAATCCTTAAGTTCTGTGTCTGTCTCCCATTCTCAGAGGCTTGGAACAATTGCTGATATGTTCAAAATACCCTGTGTTTCCAAACTTGGGATAAGAAAAAGGCACAACGAACAGAGACAGTAGCAGAGACAAAGCAGATAAAACCAAGAAACAGCAGTAGACAGCAGCTGGCACTAGGAAAGTAGAGATTAGATGCATGTTCACATCAAATAAGACAAAATGCCCCTCTTCTGTTAGCACCCATCCCAACTCTGTTAACAGAAAAGTAGAAAATTTCCCACTTCAGTCATTGTTTCTCATCCAAATAAAAAAAACGACCTGGTACTCAGCTAAAAAAAGAATGATTAGGTGCTTAACTCAGAACAGTCTTTTTGTAGGTAGGCCGAGTTTATAATTATTTTTTTTAAATGAGTATGTTTTATTTCCTCTCTAGTTCTGAAAGTGAAAATCCGAAAACACAGTGGTTTTAAGAAGTCCACCAACAGCAGCCCAGGTAAAAACCAATCCCAGATCTTCTTTAAACAGAATTACTTTATGACAAAACAAGTTAAGATTTTTTTCAAAACCAGTGTAGGGCAAAACTAGTTTTTCAAACTAGGTTTTCAAAACTCAGTTCCAGGGGCCGGCCTGGTGGCGTAGCCTGGGGTTCGCAGGTTCGGATCCCAGGCACGCACCAATGCACTGCTTGTCAAGCCACGCTGTGGCCGTGTCCCACTTAAAGTAGAGGAAGATGGGCACGGATGTTAGCCCAGGGCCAGTCTTCCTCAGCAAAAGAGGAGGACTGGCATCGATGTTAGCTCAGGGCTAATCTTCCTCACCAGAAAAAAAAAAAAACTCAACTCAGTTCCAAATAGAGTTTGCAAAGGTTGCGCCAAATTCTACTTTTTTTGCCCAGGGCAAAACTCTTATGACAGTCCAAATTAATCCAAATACCACAGCATTTTCTTTCTGGACCGTGTCAGATTTCACCTTACTAGAACTCCCGTGAACTGGAACATCCTACTTTAGACTAGATCTAGCTTCCTTAGAGTTGAGTTGAAAATGAACTATTCTTGGAGAATTTCAGTGGGATTTTGATGCAAAGAATGGTTTGCAATATTCAGTTCTAGTCCTAGACATCTCATGAACAGGCAAGAGCAGGAAGTAACGTGTTTTCACTCCTTCAGCTAAGACGATCCCTCACATGACAAGACTCTTTCCCGACAGCCACCAAGAGGTCTCCATACTTAGATCCAGTGGTATTGGGCCGGCTCCGTGGCTTAGCGGTTAAGTGCGCGCGCTCTGATGCTGGCGGCCCGGGTTCGGATCCCGGGCACGCCCCAAGGCACCACTTCTCCGTCCAACGCGAGGCCGAGTCCCACGTACAGCAACTAGAAGGATGTGAACCTATGACATACAACTATCTACTGGGGCTTTGGGGGGAAAAAAATGAATAAATAAAAAAAATCTAAAAAAAAAAAAAGATCCAGTGGTATTACGTTCACAATACACAACAAGGAAGTTCATGTGAAGAACAGGCTCACCAAGCGACTGGAGTTTATAGAGAGATCTTAAGTAGAACAAACAGCTTGAAGAACTACAGCTTATGCGCACACAGCAGCATGCAGATACATCAACAGTAAAAGGCTCTGCAAGCAAACCAAACTTAGAGGATGCGTCCGTGCTGATGCAACATGCAGACCTTCCAAGCATGACCTTCCTGGTTATTCACAAAATCCTTTGGAGCATAATCTTTGAAGCTTAGTGTTTTAAAATGTCCAATTCAAAGAGTTTTGGGAAAAAATTAGGCTTTTTTAACATCTTATTTTTACAGCTTTATAAACAGAAAATCAGATAAACACTCTAAATACTACTTCTAAAACTATTAAAGAATATCACCGTTAGAGGCCAGATATATGTGATAGCCCATTCAAGTTTACTGCTTATATTTTACATTTCAGTGAGGGAAATAATTTAAGCAATTTACTTTAAGACTGAAATATTTTCTAAACATGGATAGCAACTTAGAACAAGGAGTATTTAAAAGTGAACTTAATTAATCATACTCAGTAAGGGGAGCTTTTTTGATGGAAAAGAGCATGATTACCAAATAATTATCAGTCCTGTAGTCTCAGAGAGGTTAAAAGAATTGGATCATTTTGTTATTCCTTTTCAAGGAAAAAAATCACCATATGATGTTATACCTAGAAAAAGCAGCAAATTAACACTACAGTTTAAAAACATAACTTGTGAGGGCCAGCCCTGTGGCTTAGCAGTTAAGTGCGTGCACTCTGCTACTGGCGGCCCGGGTTCGGATCCTGGGCGCGCACTGCTTCTCCGGCCATGCTGAGGCCGCGTCCCGCATACAGCAACTAGAAGGATGTGCAGCTATGACATACAACTATCTACTGGGGCTTTGGGGGGAAAAAAACAAAATAAATAAAATTATTAAATAAATAAAAAATAAAACCATAACTTGTGTTTAATCAGTGTAAAGGGTCTACTTGGTTTAAGTGGTCACCTGAGAATATACTTAATACTTTTCAATCCTTTCCTTGCTTTTTTGTTCTCCCTGTAGTAAACATCCTCTAACAAACCCTCAAAATTACCTAAAATGAGGATTTGAAAACAGCATCTCGCTACTGCTCTTTATTTTACTTTGCTAGAGCCCCCCATCTGTACTCTTCTGGAGACTTACAGTACTGCTTCTCTTTTGTAATATCACCAACCCAATATCGTTTTTTCACTGTTTCTTTTCAGCTGTTTTTAATAACATTCAGGGGCTAAAGCCTGACATTTTCCCTGTGTAAAACACCATACTCACTCACAAACTCCCCAACTCATATAACTATATACAGTCACACTTCTTGGAACCAACATTTTACTTTATGAATTAGATTTTTTTTAAGTCTTTGTTGTAAGAAAATACAAGTAGTAAAATATAGGCCTTCTACTAAAGGCCTTAGTACTTAAATACCACATATTGATTCCTAACTACTATGAAATGAATGTTTGTGTCCCCCCAAAATTCATATGTTGCAATCGTAACCCCCAAGGTGATGGTATTAGGAGGTGGGGCCTTTGGGAGGTGATCAGGTCATGAGGGTGGAGTCTCATGAATGGAGTCAGTGTCCTTACAAAAAAGACCCTGGAGAGCTCTCTCTCTTTTTCCGCCACGTGAGGATACAACAAGAAGACAGCAGTCTGCAACCCAGAAGGGGTTCTCACCAGAACTCAAGAATGTCAGCTCCCTGATCTCTGACTTCCAGCCTCCAGAACTGTGAGGAATACATTTCTGTTGTTTATAAGCCACCCAGTCTGTGGTACTTTATTAAAGCAGCCCAAACAGATACTTACCAAACTAGGTTTATGTATATAAATATATATGTACAAATACAAATATGTAGAAAGAGATATATATATTCTTTACCACCAAGGTGCTCCATATTTATATTTAAAGTAAAAACTGTTAACTTGTGGGGCCAGCCCAGTGACATAGTGGTTGAATTTGTGCTCTCTGCTTTGGTGGCCCAGGGTTCACAGGTTCAGATCCCATGCACGGACCTACGCACCACTCATCAGGCTGTGCCATGGAGGCATCCCATATTCAAAAGAGAGGAAGACTGGCACAGATGTTAGCTTAGGGACAATCTTCCTCAAGCAAAAGGAGGAGGACTGCAACAGATGTTAGCTCAGGGCCAATCTTCCTCACCGAAAAAAAAAAAAAGGAAAGAAAAAAATTGTTAACTTGTGATTATCCCTATTTGTTTCAATGACCCTCCCTGCTGCTGACAAGAGGAATGAGAAATTGGTATTCCTATTTCTTTGGCTGGATTAGATTAAGAAACAATAAGAACCAAAAAGGTTTCAGTTGTGCTCGAATCAAAGTGTTCCTTTCATTTACTTGTTTCTGAAATAATCTCATTAGAAAATAATTCTTGTGCTACTAGGACGTGGCACTAGACACCAGGTGTTCCATATTTTAATTGCTATGTTATAATGCCCTTTCAAATTCAAACCAGTAACAGTGCTGCTGGATTTACATCTCACAGAAAAACCCAGAATTCATATTTGCATGAATCCCAACCCGTCAGCTTACTTCTTCAGAAGCACATATCCATATCAAGCCTCCAATTGTAAAAAGCAGGCTCATAAAACACACACCTAGGATCATTGTGCTAAGTCAGGGAATTAGCTACTTGAGAAAGCACAACAAATTTTCTCATTTTAAATATGAAAAAATACTGGGCCGGCCCTGTGGCTTGGCGGTTGAGTGCGCGCACTCTGATGCTGGCGGCCCGGGTTCGGATCCCGGGCGCGCCCCGAGGCACCACATCTCCGTCCAACCCGAGGCCGAGTCCCGCGTACAGCAACTAGAAGGATGTGAACCTACGACATACAACTGTCTACTGGGGCTTTGGGGGGAAAAAATGAATTAAATAAATAAATAAATAAATAAATATGAAAAAATAGGGACCACTATAAGACCAGGGGGAGCAATACAAGAAATTTATATAATATTCAAAGTGAATAAAATTAAGGAGCATCTAACAGCCATAGCACACTGGTTTGCAAAGCCTTAAGTCTTGCAAAAAGAGCTTTTCAAAGAACATGATTTAGTAAAAAAAATTATTTTGTTCAGAAAAAGCACTCTGATTAATAAACTAACAAAGCTAGTCCCCCTCTTTAAACAGTTACCAAATCCCTGGAGAAGAAAGGCAAAATTTAACAGAGAGGAGTAAAGCGGAAAAAAACCAAAAAACTAAATTGCTTAGCACATTACACTGAAGGTTCAACAATCTCCATCACTTGACTTCTGTGAGTGTGAAAAATACTTGCATTAAAATCACTCCATAGAGTAGGATCTTTTCTACTTGAACAGATACTTTCAAGTATGTTAAAATCAGATTTACAAAGAAAGAAATATTGAAATACATATTTAAAACATTTAAACATGTGCTTAAACAGCCTTCAAATAAATTCCACCAGCAGGGTTCTCCTAAGACCCATATTTTGGTACGTACATGTAAACAGCATGAAATACCCTTGTATATACTTGCTGAATATCATGTACAGTTGGTCCCAAGCCGTACAGTGAAGCACCTCTCAGCTCCATATGGAACCAGCCCTTTTTGGACTGAAACCAAAATCTATGTAAGGATAAGGAAGGGCATAAGGGCCATAAGCAATAACTGTCTAGACTTCCAAGAGGGCCAGGGAGAGAGCTTATCTTCAGCAGAACTATGAAACAGGCCATATCTAACAAATAAAATTTAAAAATAAAAAATGCATTTAGATACAAAATAGCACTTGTACAAATATGGCTTTGGAACACATGATTTAAAAGCAGAATGAGGGCCGGCTCAGTGGCACAAGCAGTTAAGTGCGCACGCTCCACTGCAGCGGCCCGGAGTTCGCCAGTTTGGATCCCAGGTGCACACCGATGCACTGCTTGGCAAGCCATGCTGTGGCGGCATCCCATATAAAGTGGAGGAAGATGGGCACGGATGTTAGCCCAGGGCCAGTATTCCTCAGCAAAAAAAAAAAAAAAAAAAACAGAGGAGGATTGGCACGTTAGCACAGGGCTGATCTCACAAAAAAATAAATAAATAGATAAAATAAAAGCAGAATGTATGAAAAGGACAGGCATATTTGTGAAAATTAAGCTCAAAACGAGTTAAAAAGAATGGGACAGCCAAAATCAGTAGGTTTGATCAAAGATAGCAGCAAGACAAATATATTTCAACTAAGTATATTTCAACTATTTTTTCAACTAAGAAGTATATTTCAACTACCCAACTGATAATCCCACTACGGTGTACATTGGTTAGACTATAAATATGGCATTTAGTTTACAAGAGAGACCCAGAACAGTGAAGGGGTTTGAATAAAGGAAGAAGGGATTCACTCCACATTCAACAGTTACAGAGCACTATCCCCAGGATACAACTGTATAAGAGACTGACAAGGTCTCAGGCTGTCATGTACCTTACACTACAATATGGACACCCTCCTCCCCGACAAAAGAGGAGACCTGGGAAGGTAAGAGAAAGATTTTTTAAAATCTGAAGGTAGGCAGGATAGTACAATAGAAAGAACATAGATGACCTAAGTTCAAATCCTAACTTGACCACCACCTCAGCCTCAGTTTCCTCACCTGTAGGAATCAAATGAGATAATAAATACAAAAGCATTCTTTAAACTGCATTTGTGTAGAAGGATAAAATTTCTTCTGCAAGACTCCAAAGGATATAACAAAGTTTCACCAAAAGGTAGTAGCCACAGTAGACAGATTTCAGCTCCATAAAATTCAGGGCTTGTCAAAGATGGAATGGGCTGTCCCCTAATACTAGAGGTGCTCATACACAGGCTTACTGGCCTTTTGGCAAAAATCCAGAAAAACACAGTAAGCTGACGTAGCATGTCCACAGTAGTCAGCAAGTCTAATATTTGCTCTTCCCATCTCTGGGAAGAAGTAAAAATAATGATTATGTATAGTACTAAATATGTACCAGATTAATTTTTCTGTATGCATGATGCAACTGAAAGATGATTGTTATATCTGGATATAACAGTTTTCCCATCACAGGTTTGGTAGGAGAACTAAATAAGACAGATCAACTGCCCAGCACGAAGAGCTTCAAAAATGCCATTTCCTTTTTCCTTTGCCACTTATAAACTCTGTTCGTGCACACTCGATTTTCATTATTTGCTATTCATAGAGCAAGGATATTTGATTAAATAAGAAGAAAATACTGTTCACCACAATATTATTTTAAAAAGCAAATAATCATTAGCACATAAAAAAAAGATTCTGTTCAGAAAAATTAAGTTCTACAACTTTGTATGGAAACTATGTTTTGATTTTTAAATAAAAGAAGAACTGGAAGATAAGAGTATTAGCAACCTTGTATTCATTCTTTCCTTAATTCAACAAAAAGTACTAACCACCTATCACGAGCTAGTCATTTGTAATTAAAGGTTCTTCTCTGTAACTGAAGATTTCTAATTAGGTATGTTCCATAGAATGCAAAAGAAAATCTAACCTGGATTCTGGCTATAAAAAGGTCCTCCGTTCATCTGATTCTGAAGGCTTGTTTGTGAAGTTATGGAAGGAGGGCGTCTATAGGGCAATGAGCCCCCTATAGTTGGGGGAGTATGGCGAGAGGCAGGTCTATTCATGCTGTAGAACTGAACAGGATGACCTGGAAAAGGGACAGAACATAAACGTGTCATTAAAAGAAAATTATCTCAGACAATGAAATACTTTAGGTACAATGCCTGAAGCTGAGTAAGATTATTAAAAAGAACAATACTTAGCTAAGCTAATTGCCATCTGACAAACATAATGCAAGGTGACAGTTACTGCTCAGCTGACATTATATCAAAGTGAACAAGCAGGACAGTAGATAAATAAAATCATGATTATGCTTGGAAAAGCTACATCTATATAGATTACTAACATTATGATTTTATTAAATGAATAATTTGATAGGGTTTCAAAATTATCACAATTAAAATTTATGGTCCACTTCCTCCCCAAAAAACGAGCCACTAAACACTAAAAACTAAACAAGATAAGAGTAACATCTGGGAAAGCAAAAGCAAAAGTGTTTGACACAGTCTTATTCCAAAATAATAAGAACAGTAAATTTAAGGTAGCAAAGCAATCTGCTTAAAGGAAAACATAAAATACTTCAGCAAAAGGTCAAGTGACATAATTCCAAATCAAACCCATCTTTATTCAATTGAAAATATCCATCTCTAAAGCTAGATTATTTTGTCTTAAAATTAGAGTTTAGGAAATTTACAATTAGGAAAAAAAGCTAAGGTACAAAAAGTGAATCAAAATATCTTATTTTTAATATGATCCCTGAACCTGTACATATTTATCAGCAATTTCACTATTTTTCACTCTCTGAGACTATTTCAACAGCTAATGCCAACTACAGACCCTCTTTCCTAATCCATCCAATTTCCTAGTGCAATCCAGTTCCTAAATTTTATCCTGACTCCACCCCCACTCAAAATCATTCAGCTGAGGGCCTACTGTTACATACAGACCGGCCAAGCACTAGAAGTGCCCATGAGAGACCGTGCCCATGAGAGACCCTTCCCCGGGGAGGGGAGGGAAGGAGAGGAGATAAGATAAGGGGAAGAGGAAGGAGGAGGGGAAAGGAAAGGAGAAAGGGTAAGGAAAGAAGGAAGTCAGGAGGAGAGGTACAAAGAAAGAAAATAACACTTGACAATTTTTCATCTTATCCATACTGTAAAATGGTTTTACGTAACTAAAATTGGTCTTCAGGAACTCTATAAATTTATCAAACTTAGACTTCACATGGACTCATATAAAGAATATTATAAAAGCCCTCAAGAGCTGCTAGACCATTTAATCTCCTTATATATGACAATATCAAAACCTAAAAATCAATTCTGTTGTATAAAAATCTTGAGTATTCAAGATTACACATAATCCCCTGTCAAGTCTCTGTAACCATGATAAAAATGTAAAAACATAAACTAATAAGGGTACATTTTAACATCTGAATCACCAGATACAAACACATTATTGGCATTTTAGTAATTAATCTATAACAAACTAGTATAAACCTAGGATCATCAAGTTAAAAACATCTGATAATTAACACCATTATGAATTTTATATAGTCAGATCTAGTCTAAAATTTCACATACGTCCTCGGTGATTCAAAGACACTACATAAAAGAGACTCTAATTCATACCATTAATAAGGCATTTATTTTTGAGTTGAAAAAAAAAACTGAACTACAGTTTAATTACCACAGACCTAACTATAAAACCTAAAACTAAAAACTTATACAAGTGAACAGGACAAAATCTTTATGACCTTGTATAAGGTAAAGAGTTTGTAAATATGACACCAAAAGCACAATACATAAAAGAAAAAAAAAAAAATCAATGAAGTGGACTATATTTCTGCTCTTTAAAAGACACCATTAGGGGCCGGCCCTGTGGCTTAGCGGTTGGGTACGTGAGCTCCGCTGCTGGCAGCCTGGGTTCGGATCCCAGGCGCGCGCCGACACACCGCTTCTCCGGCCATGCTGGGGCTGCGTCCCACATGCAGCAACTAGAAGGATGTGCAACTATAGCATGCAACCATCTACTGGGGCTTTGTGGAAAAAAAGGAGGAGGATTGGCAATGGATGTTGGCTCGGAGCCAGTCTTCCT